CCAATTATATAGCAAGTCGCATGGGTTCAAACCCCGTCAGGGGCAAGTCGTTGTTGGTACTAACGGTAATAAAATAAAGAAAAAGAAACGGAAAATAAATAAAAATATACCTATTGTATCTTATATGGGAGAGAGCATTGACATAAAATAGCGATGTTCCATTTAGAGCCAATTTCGATCTAAATTTAAATTTCGATCTAGCTTTGTATATCGGTCTATAGCTTTGAATATCGGACTAGCTTTGAATACAAATGTATTGAGATCGCTTTGGATACTGGACCAGCTCTTAATTTCAATCTAGCTTTGAATACTGAACTTATCATTTATCGATGCTCATCAAAACTTAGTCTTAGTACCATTGCTGATATTGGATCGTTATCATTCACCTGCGAATGCGCAAATTGCTAGTACCGTTTATAAGAAAATATCGTTTTGTAAAAAAAAGCCTGGAGCACATCATATTGTAAGTATAGTTCACCAGCGCCGCGGTCTGTAGATAGCAGTGGTTGTTACCGTTTAGTATATACAGCATCAGCAACATTAAAAAATCATTGTAAATATGACATGCAAGGCGTTCACGGCCGAGTGGTTAAGGAGGCCGTTAGCTTCAAACCACATGCTCCTCACCGCTGTGGTTCGAATCCCGAAAGGAACTTTATATATTTTTATATGAAGAAGCTATCCAGTTAGCTGACGGAACGTCGGTGGTTCTATTCAGGTGCCCGTTCATGTCTGAAATAATGCAGATGTTTTTCCACATGTATAGCTGGAGCGTCGCCAAATCACATATACTGTGTCGGTGTGAGGTAAAACACAATCAAACAAACAAACAAAAATCTGATATGCAACGGCTCTCGGCTAGAGATACAGCATATATATCAAATCAAATGAGAGAGACAAATGCGTGAAATTACATTTTCATACATTAAAAACAAACAATTTTGATATACAAACCTGGGACAAACATTTTACTGCGAAACAAAAAGAGCCAAAACAGAAAAAGTGAGAGAAAGTGTGTGTTAACAAAATTAATATTGCAAACCGAAATAAGGGAAGTAACTTCCAATTTTTTTACAGTGTATATTGCTTTAGAATAAGCCGTTAACAATCTTTTTGGAATATACACCCAAAAGCGATTATACGCCTTAAAGATTTATTCAATTAAGTGTTTTTTTTTCATTTTTAATTACATCCATGCATATCACTCTTATTGTTTAACGCAAGACACAATAGAGTCAAAATTATGTATAATTTACTCTGATAGTTGGGACATCAAAGGGAGGCAGCCGTATTACACGGACACTTAACAAAACATGAATCGTGTCCCTTAAATGTTACGTGTAATGAATGTTTGACCTTGATTGAAATAATTGAACTCAAATATTTAATCCTCCGATAAATCAATTCGAGTTGAAAAACGTAACAATCAACATGGGATAAAAATCTGAAGGATGATTATATAAATCAGTTTGATAATATCGATACAAATAATATAACAGAAGAAATGATTAAAATATTAAATGATAAGAATTATAATGATGAATGTATTAATTCCTTGACTGAAAAACTGTCAAGTATCATAACTAATGCTGCTAAAAGGTGCAATTTAATACAAGAAAAAAAGTATTTCACAGAAAGAAAAAATGCAAACTTGACCAAAAATGGTTTGATAAAGATTGCTCGAAATTTAGAAAGGAATATTACCTAAGCAGAAATACCTTTAGGAAAAATAAAACCGAAGGTAATAAAAACCTTATGATGATAAACAGTAAAAGATATAAAAAAGAATTAAATAAAAAGTTTAACAGTTTCAATGACAATGTCATAAAAAAACTGAGAGGATTAAAGCATAGTGATCCTAAATCTTATTGGAGTTTATTAAATAAATATTCTTCTGATAAAAAAGTGATAATAAATAAAATAACTAATGAGGTTTTCCATGAGCATTTCAGTAATTTGAATGCAGATATTTTAAGAAATGAAAATGACGTAGATAATTTTAATGTTACCAACTTACCAATGTTTAATGAGGCACTGAATTCGCAATTTACTGAGCAAGAAATAGATAAGGCTATAAAGGCGCTTAAGAATAATAAAAGTCCATCTATATTTGATAATATTATTAATGAGTATCTCAAAAATGCTCCTGATAATCTGCTGGCTGTACTTACGCTATTTTTTTAACATTATATTAGACTCTGGTATCTTTCCGGATGTGTGGAGCAAGGGAGTTATCTTACCATTGTATAAAAATAAAGGGGATGTTAATGATCCGGATAATTACAGGGGCATAACGATACTCATTTGCTTTGGAAAACTTTTCACTTCGGTACTTAATAACAGATTAAATGACTTCTTGGAATCAAACAACATTCTATGTGAAGAACTATATAAGATTTTATATCTTTCGTTCTAATCCATTTCATCATTGTATATATTGATTGATTGTATATTATGTACTGTGTATGATTATGAATAAAATATGTTTAAACTAAGAACAAGCAGGTTTCAGGAAGCATTATAGTACTGTTGATCACATATTTTCATTAAAACTTCTAGTGGACGTATATCTAGCACATGAAAAAAAATTGTATTGTGCATTTGTAGATTATCGCAAGGCCTTTGATTCTGTAAATCGCACTGCCATGTGGCATAAATTATTAACTTACAATATTGATGGGAAATGCTTTAAAATAATACACAATATGTATGACAAAGCTAAGTCATGTGTTAGTTCGAATAATACAATTTCAGATTTTTTCACTAGTCATACTGGAGTAAGACAAGGTGAAAACTTATCTCCAATATTGTTTTCTCTTTTCTTGAATGATCTAACTAATTTTATGTCTAATAAATATGAAGGTTTGCAGTTTCTAAAAGAACATATAAATGATATGTTAAGTGATGATGAAATGGAAGTTTATCTTAAACTGTATTTACTATTGTATGCGGATGACACTGTAATATTGTCAGAGAGCTCTCAGCAGCTTCAGTTAGCATTAAACGCTATGTCTGACTACTGCAAGCTTTGGAATCTTTCAAGAAGTAAATACAAATAAAACCAAAGTTATTATATTTTGGAAAACCAAGAGAGGTTTGCGTAATATGCCTAACTTTCACTATGAGGGGGCTGTCCTTGAAATTGTTGAGCATTTCTCATATTTAGGTGTCCAATTTTCATTTAATGGTAAATTCAGCAGAACTAAAACATTCCTTATTGATCAAGCCCATAAAGCCATTTTTCTGTAATTAGGAAATCTAGGATACTTAATTTACCAATAGATATGCAATTACACTTGTTTGATACAATGATAGCACACATTTTGTTGTATGGGTGTGAAGTTTGGGGTGTTGAAGATGTGAGTGTTGTGGATAAATTTCAATTAAAATACCTAAAGATAATTCTACAGTTGAAACAGAGTACTCCAAATGCTATGATTTATGGGGAGTTGGGTATTACCCCACTTTCAACACAAATTAAAAGTAGAGTTCTCAATTACTGGGGTAAAATAGTTTATTCTAAACATGATAAGATGGTCAGCATTCTATATAGAACAACTCATAATTTATATACTCTGAATAATATTAAATCAGATTGGGTTTGTTTTGTTCGAAATAATTTAAATGATCTTGGATTGTCGCATTTTTGGATAAATCAAAATGTGGAATCTCCTGCTTCATTCAAGAATACTGTCAACTTAAGATTGCGTGATCATTTTATGCAAAATTGGAGAAGTACAATTAATAATTCCAGTAAATGTCTAAATTACAGGATTTATAAACAGGATTTTTGTTTTGAGCCATACCTCAGCAAGTTACCTATGAATTTAGCTTTAATTCTCTTTAAATTTAGAAGTATGAATCACAAACTTCCTATTGAAAAAGGAAGGTTTGATGAGATTCCAAGAGAACTTAGAACTTGTAACATATGTACCAGTAACTCTTTAGGCGACGAATTCCATTATCTTTTTGAATGTTCACATTTAGTCAATACAAGTAAGCTGTATCTTGATAAATATTTCTATGAACGTCCAAGTGCTTTAAAATTTGAAAAATTAATGAACCATAGTAATAAAGATATCCTTTTGAAACTTGCCATATTTTGCAAAAATATTATGTTATTATTTAAATAATGTTAGCTTATTAGATTATGTATTTTCTCTTTGTTTTTTTTCTCGCAATGATTTTTGATTTTTCTCTCTCATCCTCCATTATCAGTCAATTATTACATAGAGGATATTTGTTTAGTTTTGTGTAAGATCGAAATATATTTCACCGAGTGAGCACCAAAAGGTATATTTCACGAGTGGCGCAGCCACGAGTGAAATATGAGCTTTTGGTGTTCACAACGACTCCATGCTTGACGTCAAGAATGACGTTATTTGTCGTCACGAACTAATCAGAGCCTCTATTAATTAACCTTATAGATCATGAGCATTGAAAGAGATAACAGTTGAAAAACTATTTAAAAAGTTTGCCTCTTAAAATATTTAGCTATACGAAAAAGTAACCCTCCATGAAAATGCAACTATCTTACGTTTTATTAACACCGACGCCTGGGTGAGTACTATATGTCTCCCCTTTTCCATGAAGATCCGCTCATACAAGACGCGGAAAGTACCGAAATAAGCCGAGTTTTAACGACCTTTTGACGGAGATGTCATCATTTTGTTTATCAAATAACATAACGTGAATTAAAACAATTCATTTTTTTAATATCAAAAATAGTAATTAAAATACATTTTAGAACACAAACTATCACATATTACTTTCAATATCACTAAAGCAAGTATGTACTTATTGATATATAACTCAAAACAACGGAACTCGGTTGGCGCGATGAAATCTTTGAGCCCCGAAGCAAGAACACTAATTTTTTTATTTCGTTGAATTACGGACGGTAGTCATCGATCAATCTGTGGTTATATATATCTTTACTACTTAAATATCACATATAAAATGAGAAATATAGAATCTTCATGCAGCAAAGTAAATCAAAGTTTCAGTTTTAAAAACGGAAAATGGTAATTCGCCTATAACAAAATTTGGAACATTATACGATATATGCAGATATATGAAAAGAAGGACTTCAGCTGATCTTGTCGGTATATCACAGTAGACTTGCCAGTGTTTACAGCAGACTTTCTTGCATTACCATCTCGACTTGGTCGATTTGTCATCTTTACCTGAAACGTATTATAAGATTCATTACATCCCACAATACTCGGGATTATTCGGCAAATTTCGACCCTTAACGTATGCAAATTTTCGAATGAAAAGCGGTCATATGATAAAGATTTTGTATTGCACCTTATCACCGCAATGCTTACAAAATCTTAATATAAACACGAAAAGTGATCTGTATAATTCTTTTGCCTGTCTTTAACGAAATCATGAAAGGTGTTATACCATAATTAACTTTTTTTACATATTAACTTTTATACTACACGTACATATTATAACAAAAACTATGTAATATCGACAATTCTTACTTGCTAAAATGCTATGCATAAACTGTTTTTATCTATTAGCCAAGCGTATACATGTATCTAAGTTTCTATAAATAGGAGGCACTCAGCATAGCAAAATATAGTAATTCTGTATAAACGTTTACATATATCGCCAAATGAAATGCATGCTACCTAAATTCTGCTTTTTTTAAAAAAAGCATTAGCAGTAGATACATAAATTCAAACGCAATGGGATCCATATGTTTAAAAAAGCAGTTAATCAAAAATACTGTAAAAATGATATGAATTTTTTTCTATATTGTATACACGAATGACTTTAGGATACCATTTAAAATTAAATTGCGCAATGGACCTATTAGAATAGACATTTTATGATTTAGTGTCCATTAAAAATACTAGGCTCAAATTTTGATATCAGAAAATAATTGCTACACATGCAGTCTCTTTGTAAATATGAAATTAACATGTTTTGACTTTACACAAAGTTGACATGTCATGTTCAAAACTCTACACACTACAGGTCATCACAGTATGAATAATTATATAGTGTCGTAAAAAAAGTGGCAGTTTTTTTAAGGAAAGACCAATTTTACCTGTCCTATAATGGAGAACGTGTTTTCCGATGCATAGCTTATTCGTTTTTATTCATATTAGACATATTCAGTAAGAATTACATAGGTTGTAATTAATTTCTTCAATTAAAATATTTTACTCAAAGATAAGCATATAATATCTTTAACTTTTCGTACTCAAAACATGTTGAACTCCGAAACGCTCGTTTAAATTTCTATTTTTAACAGGTAACTTACGGACAAAATCACACATTATAACAGAGCAAAGGGTAGCTAACGGACGTCAATATTCATTTTAATAATAATAGATTCATGAAAAAAAACTTATTATTATTATGTGGTGAAAATATTGAATTCAAATCAATAACAGCAAAACAATAAATAATTTAAAATGAAGAAAAATAAATAAATAAAAATACAAATAAACCTGAAGTCGTGCACTAACAATAACATATTTATATGCAAGTTAAAAAGCTTTTGAAAGCAACTTCAAATAACTATATATTAAACTCTGAGGGTAAACTTACGTTTTGGAGAACTGGAAGTGATAAAACACATTTTACAAATAAAATAAATAGAAATAAAAGCCCCGAACAATCAGTTATGTTGACAGTTCTTGACCGCCATATTAATTGGGCATAAATACTCTCTGCTACATGGAATTTCCTAGGTACAAATAATATTAGTCAGTCTTACACTATTTTGAACAGTAGATCTAAAACCAACATAACAAGACTTCGTGCAAAAAAGTGGACTACATGTATTTAGTTATATTCTTTTTCACTATTTTTTTAAAGTTGCAACCCGGAAAGACTTAAACGTAATTAAGCAGACCCATAAATACTATATAACGTTATTTAACAAAAACGTTTTCAAATAAGCCCACAAAACACGTTCTGTTAACGTTATAAAACAAAAGACAAAAGATTTAACTCACCTATGTGTTGGAGCAGTAACACCAGACATTTGCATATATCATGATCACAAAATAGACAAATGAGCCGCGTCACGACAAAACCATCATAATGCGTGCGACCAGCATGGATACAGACCAGCCTGCGCTTCCGGACAGTCTGATCAGGATCCATGCTGTTCGCTATCAGTTTTTCTACTTGTAATAGGGTTTGTAAGCGAACAGCATGGCTCCTGATCAGACTGCGCGGATGCGCAGGCTGGTCTGGATCTATGCTGGTCGCAAACCCATTATGTTGGTTTTGTCGAGACGCGGCTCATATATGTGCAGAGAATAATTAGATGTATTAATTAAAGAAAAGTGAGAATGGATTACATTTGTTGATCTTTTCCCTTCTTTCTCTATGTTAAATTTTCCCATTGTCTCTGAAATAAAAGGGGGAGAATTCTCAAAAAAATATGAATCCCTCTATCCCCCATCCTAGAATAGACACTGATTCAGTTGAATTTAAGAAGCGTCTTGTCCGGTTTATATCGGAATACGGTATTTAGACGGTTCTCCATTCCTTTCTACTTTATACCATTAATGACGTAAACGTTCCTCAGTATATGACGTTATATTGTACTTACTCATATTCGTCCGAATCCCTTCTTCTATTATCCTTGTAGTCATCTCTTCTTCTATCGTTATTATAATCGTCTCTCCGCCTATCTGGATATCTAGAAAATAAAATGAATTCATAATAATAAATGACCCGCGTCACGACAAAACCAACATAATGGGTTTGCGAGACCAGCATGGATCCAGACCAGCCTGCGCATCCGCGCAGTCTGATCAGGATCCATGCTGTTCGCTTTTAAACCTTTTAACAAGTAAAGAAACTGATAGCGAACAGCATGGATCCTGACCAGACTGCGCTGATGCGCAGGCTGGTCTGGATTCATGCTGGTCACAAACCCATTATGTTGGTTTTGTCGTGACGCGGCTCATAAATGAATATGTTTACTTTTAGAGCGACATCTAGAATAAGATATAATGCTTGATTAAACCGCTAGAATTATACATGTATATAGATGGGGTATAATAATTATATGAATATCACATGAATCCGAAAAAGTTGGAATGTTCATCCCAGACAAGTGATGTCATACCGGGGCGTTCTATTATATACCCCCTTAGATGGGATGTTATATCGAACATAGTTTCTAAAAATTCTAAAAAAAAGGTTAGCAATATCAGACTGGGGGAATGGGTGAGGGATGCGGGGCAATTTGGTCCGATCGGTTTTTTTTTAAAGCAGCCGGCCGAAAATTGATGTTGCCATGTAACATTATGGAATGAATGTACAATGTGTTTTTAAAAAATAATTGTGCATAACATTTTACCTCCGGGATCTTCCTCCGCGCCCAAAGCAATTGCACATCCCTGGGCAACAAAACTGCATCAGACACCATGTGAGCAATCCAAGTAAAGCCAGCGCCATTAAGAGACAAAATACAAACAATACAATATTACCAGCATGGTCAAAAAAGTTGTATGGCGTGGTAGTTGGAGCGGGCGTTGTGGTGGTTGTCGGTGTCTGCTGGTAAATGATGGCAACTGTAGAAGTTCCGGTCAATTGCGGATTTCCGTCGTCAATCGCCGTGACAATATACCTGTATTGGAAAATGGACGGGAAATTAAATATTTACCAGACTTCAGTATATATTGGTACTGTATTGTGTCCATATTCTTCCTAATACATAAAAAAGTTGCTCTAAACTTTGTTTAATTGGTCAGTAACCATAAACATATAGATCTATGTCGTCGGCTTAAAAGGTTAAATAGTCAGTAAGACAAGCTAATTATTATAATACTATCATCGGATGTTATTTCAGTTCAAGGGCTGCTAAAATTATCTATTACCCTGAGAAACATGTGTTATTTTGTTATTATAATACCGAACCAACTTCACCACTATGCAAGTTTTATCGACCAAGGGAGAGAACTAGACCATTACGTTTTCTTCAGTCTATGTAGATTACTCGCCCCTGGGGAATATTGCCAAAAAAATTGACCAGATGATGATAAATCGAAATAACGCAATGTGAGGTAACATTGTGCTATGTAGTGGAACATTTACGAGAGGTAAAATAAAAACATTTATCACATACATGACATACCCGTGTCGCTTTTGCCACTCCATAAAGTGGTATTGCACGGCCGTGCATATATTTGACGTGACGTCATTTTTACGAGCTATATGTAAGCATTACACTAAAGGCGTGTCAATGAAAAAAGGTTCATTTTTACTTCAAACGGTCTTTATTTTTGGTATGTGATAAAAATTAAATTAAATTCGTGAAAGTTTATGACTGAATTTATTGAACTCTATCAATAAATTAATATTACACTTGCCAGAGGCTTGCATAATATGATTTTATCCAACTCGTTCAATAAATTCAGTGACCTTCGTTCAATATCTTCTATTTATTTTTCAACTTAATCGAATGAGATACATTTATATTTCCTCCTCGAAAATTCCATATAAAACAAAACAAGTTGGTTGCTAACTCTTTAAGAAGAAACGTAGAATGACGCTTACTGAGTTTGAGTACCAGCTGCAAAGTCCACTTGTCTTGTACTGTACACGTTACAATTGGCGCCAATGGCAAAATAGGTGCTGTAAGTGGAGCCCGAACTTGCTGAACACCGGACATACCCGTTAGTTGTACTATCAGCATCCGTAACTGCCATAACACCTTTGAATAATCAAAGGACTTTATTAATACATAATAAGGAAATGAAAAAGAGTCACATATCTAAAGGAGTAAACTCCACTATAACGGATCCTTGAAAATTTATGTCTGCAATACGTTTAAAACTATTATGTCAACTTCACTATCTGTTATTGGTAAGGCATGTTGAAAGTATATCATTATACTGAAGTAGGTATGTTTGAAATAATTATACAATACAACAATACAATACAAATCAATTTATTTTCAATTGTTACAGATTACATAATACACATTTAACATGTATCAAGCAATTACGGAAGAGCATTAGTGTCAAGTGTATGTTTTTTTTAATAACCCGAAATTTCGAGTAACTAACTCAAAATTTCGACTAACTTATCTCGAAATTACGACTTACTAACCCGAAATTTCGACTTATTTACTCGAAATTTCGACATACTAACTCGAAATTTCGAGTTACTTATCACGTTATTTCGACTAAATAACTCGAAACTTCGACTTAGTAACTCGAAATTTCGACTTCCATTGCACGACTTTCATTGGTTGCCTGTGAAAGCAATGATTGAATTCAAGATACTTTCTTTAGTGTGTAGCTGATGCACATTGATAGAGCACCCATTTATTTGACAGAGCAATTTAATAGGGTCAAATTGTCCACATGTTTCGCTTATTGTGGAGGGGGGGGGGGCGTAAAATCACACTTTCCACATTTCCGTGTTAACTGGGTTTCGTAATAGAAAGAGCACCGAAACACGAGGCTATCTGATTTGTACGAGGGGCGTAGCCCCCGATTATAAATCAGATTGCCGAGTGTTTTGGTGTTCTTTCTCTTTTGTATCATAGTCAAACATAAAAACACGTTCCCTGTTGTCACAACCCCGGCAAAAATGAACCAATGAACGAACATCTGAAAATGATATTTCTGTCGCTTTCCCTTTCTCTGCAGTCACAATATGTAAACGCCAGCAAAAATGAGCCAATCAATGGGCATGCTCTGGAGTGCGGGTAACTAATACCCGCACTCCAGTTAACGCACTGTGCATGTATATGTATACGATTTAACCCTGACACATTTTCAACAGAAAGGTCTCCAAACTATGATACAATTTTTTCTTAAGCACACATACAACCATCGTGTGGAGAAACAACAAGTCCAAAACCTACCCTATTGTAAACTGTGCAATATCTATGATCTATGAAAAAAACTGCATTGATATATAACAGGTGCGAAAAAACTCGACCGATATATAACAGTCGAGTTTTTTCCCTATATGAATCAATGAAAAACTACTGTTATATATCAATACAGTTTTGAAATGCTCGTTGAAGTGAACTGAGTATAATGGGTTAGTAAGAACAAAGGAAACGTTCCAAACCATGCGATAACTATGAATAGAACATGTGGTCGGTTGTAAAATTGCAATGAGACAGTCTATTCATAAATGTGTACTTGTAATGACAATGAAAAAACAAAACAAAAACAAACATATAAAGATGGGGATATTAGGATTAACAATCACCAGGAATGTAAAATAAATCAGTTCATGTTCTTGTTATTAATCGTTATTTTTTTCATGATATATTTAACATATAAGCTAAGGTTTGTTAGGGTCTGGCTATCATTTTTGTGTCGCCTCTACGGAGTAGTGGCGACATATAGGGATCACTTCTCCGTCGTCTGTCTGTCCGTCTGTCTGTCCGTCTGTCCGTCCGTCCGTCACAAAACTTGTCCGGACTACCCCTCATAAACTACTGGTGCAATTTCATCCAAACTTTACAGGAATGATCAGTACCAAGTCTAGTTGTGCATATTGTCAGCATTTTCCGATTCAATGATTTTTGTCAGAGTTATGGCCCTTTAATAATTTTTAATTTTAAAGTTTGTCCGGACTACTTCTCTTATACCACTAATGCAATTTCAATGAAACTTTACAGGATTGATCTATAGCTCAAGTCCTTGCGCATATTGCAAGGGTTTTCCGGTTGAATGATTTTTGGCCGAGTTATGGCCCTTTGATAAAAAGGTGTTTTTTTCTGTGTGTTGCCAGATACACAATAGCTTGTCCGGACTACTCCTCATAAAATACTGGTGCAATTTCATCCAAACTTTACAGGAATGATCAGTACCAAGTCTAGTTGTGCATATTGTCAGCATTTTCCGGTTCAATGATTTTTGTCAGAGTTTTGGCCCTTTAATATTTTTTATTTTTAAAGTTTGTCCGGACTAGTTTTCTTATACCACTTATGCAATTTCAATGAAACTTTACAGGATTGATCTGTAGCTTAAGTCCTTGCGCATATTGCACGGGTTTTCCGGTTGAATGATTTTTGGCTGAGTTATGGCCCTTTGATAAAAAGGTGCTTTTTCTGTGTGTTGCCAGATACGCAAAAGCTTGTCCGGACTACTCCTCATAAGCTACTGGTGCAATTTTATCCAAACTTTACATGATTGATTAGTACTTAGTCTAGTTGTGCACTGTCCGTCTGTCTGTCCGTCTGTCACAAAATTTGTCCCAACATGAAATTGGCCATTATGAGGCGACACATGTGATTACTGATCGCTCTTGTTGTTAAGTAATTAATGTAATTATTCTTTCAACATGACTTACCAATAAGAAAGTCTGAAGTTGTTATGTCTAAACTATGTTTATGCTTAATCTGACAACATGAGTTGCCAAATAACACATATCGGAGTTGTTATGTAAAAACATAATTCTTTCAACATGACGTACCTATTACAGATCTTGAAGATATGTGGATAACATTTGATCATTAGTGAACATAGATTTTTGAAGAAATGTCTCAGTGAAACTTTGGTATAGGATTTAATACTTCATCGCGCACCTGCAGATCAACATCAAAAAAGTGCACCAACGATTGGCTTTAGTACAATACTTGTTATAATTGTAAGAAAAAAAAACGTTTAAAGTTTTTATGACTATGTTAGTCCTGAAAACCCCCATTTTGCAGGTGCGCGATGACGTAGTATCCTACCGGTATATGAACACGGTGTATTACCTATAGCAGTTCCGGGTGTAGTTGTGTCAGTCACTATGAACGTGTAAGATGAGGACGAAAACACTGGCTCATTATCATTAACATCCTGTGGAATTTCAAGTAAAATAATCATTACGTCTGACAACATAGTTATAAAGTGTATGATGGACCTTCCATTATAGACCAATTCACTTTAAACTTATTTGAAGATCACGGGGGGAGGAACAGTGGAACTGTTGCACAGAGTTTAAGCAAAAGGCGATGGAAACTGGATTATAAAGTTTTTTTCTGACACAGAATACAATATGTAAGGCAAGATTAATCATCATAGTTTAATTTAGCATCTAAAACCATACATTTAAAGTTCAAGTTTAAAATTTTAACGTGTGTTTCTTCAGTATATAATAAAGGTTTCCAACGAAATCCGTAACACTTTCAAGGACCTTCGTGACAGTCAACATAAGAACTCTTGACAGTTTATCATAAAAACTCTATTCTTCGTGTAGCAGTTCCTTCCCCGTGAACATGTTGTACATACAGATGATAATAAAAAGAAAACAATCTTTAAGGTTACTTACAGTGACGGTTATAGTAACTTGTGCCGAACCTGTCAGAGGGTTACCGTCAATGTGGCCAGAATCAATACAGTACACCGTCAAAACCTCCTCGGTGGGATATGCATTATCAACGTCATAATCGACATTAAATTCGATTAGACCACTCGGCAGTACATGAAACCGGTCGCTATTGTTGATGGCCCTGAAGTCGTAAGTGATCGAGTCACCGGTGTCGTCATCTTGGCAGTCAAACGAAGCGTCGAAAGTTGTGGCGCCTTTCTGAAATGTTATTTGACCTACTTCAATATAGTCGGTAACAAGGGACAGTCGAAACCAAGGTAAATCGGTACCAAGGTACAATCGGTACCAATGAACAATCGGTAACAAGGTACAATCGGTACCAAGAATAGAATGTAATTATGCTTTTATAAATTTAATATAGGTTGTTTCATTATATTTATTTTTCAAAACTATGGACAGTTCTACTATGCCTTTCTGTTATTTTCTATAATACAGTCAAACCAATTGAATAGATGCTTTCTGTTACAAACAGATTTCTGACAATGTGACACGTGGCACATTCATTAAGATACGCTAGAGGTTATTTATGGAAACAAAAACTTTATAACTGATTAGATAATATGAAAAAAATGTTTCTGCCGAATTGTTTCCGAAATACCGTCACAAAGTTGTGCTTAATGAGTACACACAGACAATTATAAATTATTACATCCTTACCGCACCTTCCGGCGTGCTCACGTGATACATTATGTTTGAAAAATACGGCGCTTCATTGTTATTTTCAACGGTAAGTTCATAGATGAAAGGGCCTCCTTCATGTATACCGTCGTCTATCCAGAATGAACAGTTGAAAAAAGGATTTCTTTCATAATTCAGTGACTTGCCTGTCGCAATCTTGAAATTCCCACCTGAAATAATGATCCAGCGGTTAAAATTAAAAAGGGACAACAAAGTAGCCTTTACAATTTTCAAAGTGAACTTCGTTTTCTTTGAATTCATTATTCGTTACAAATTGTTTTTTATTATTCAATTATTTATTTGTTTTCTTTGATTCCTTATCAGTTACGAATTATTTATCATTTTGGTGATAAGCCTGTCCGTGCCCTGTCTTGTGCCCTGTCCTGTTTTTGTTTGGGGTCCGCCTGGACTCCTTGCTGGTTATTGTTGCTGGGTCGTATGGGGGTTGCGTTCATTGAACGCCGCCATTCCTTGTTGATCTTGTTTATCATATTTGATTAGGTACCTTTTATCAGAACCACTGTTGTAGCGTTCATCGGAAATAGTCCCTCATAACATCGAAGGTTTACGTCGAGTTCACCTTCGTTAATGTTTCAACATAATAATCGATTTTTCCAAACTAAAAACTGTCGCAAATGTAAACACTACAATTTATCGCCAATTTAACAAAAGTATTCAATTAGCAGAAAAAAGCAAATACTGCCCTAAAACTAAAAATTTAGTAAAGTTGAAACAATACATCGGGTGAACTCGTCGTAAACAATTTTACTTAAGTTCTCGATGTTTTGAGGTGCTATATTCGGTGAACGCTGTTCAACAGTGTCAATGTATATTATATCGAGAGTAAAGGGATTGGTCAGGCTGCAGGGGTATGACGGCTGGCCTAGCTACAATCATACTGGTGGCACAGACTGATCTATTCTTGTTATAAAAGGTTAAAGTCATAGATGATTCACCAAAAATATATATTTAAAATCCATAATTTTTCGTGTTCATGTTAGTCGTCTTAAATTGCGCCGTTCTGATATCATCGCATATTAGCAATATAGCTCTTGAACAAAGTTTGACGGAATGGCCCGAGTAGTTGCAGTTACGATTACTACTCGCAACTTCTTGGTTCCTTCTGTCAATCTTTGTATACATACTATGCCATTATTATGGCAAATCGTCGAGGTGATCTGAATGTTCATATAACGTATTATGAAGGAAGGGAACTAAGTCAGATAAAATTAATAATAGCAATTTAATTTCGTCTCAAATACTGTCATTGGCAAAAGAAAATATCTGAAGCGTTGATGGTGGAAATTTCTTATGAATGACCCGACCCACCCCCTTCTATGTTTTATTTAGATAGCAAGATGGCTAACTAACTTACAAACAAGACGACGTACTAATGTACTTTCAAGACGACTGGCAAACTTACTTGCAAGATAGTTGACTGACTAACTTACTTTCAAGACGACTAGCAAACTTACTTGTGTCTAATTCAAAGGTATCTTCTGCAGCTTTAGGTGTACAGGTGTACCTGTACGTGTGCGTCTGTGATGTGTCTGGGTCGGAAGTTGAAATCGTGAACAGTGTGGTACCAGCAGCTAGCGTCTCTATTTTTGTTTCTGCTAATGGAGTTATCATGTTTGTAGTAGTCGGTATGGTATTCTGATCTGAAAAAATCGGCAATTTCCGTTAGTGTCCGTCATGATTTATTTAGCATATGTGATGACGTCATTTTCCAAGCGTTTCCGGATTACTTTGTAATGAGTCTTAAGGTGTATAATTGTCTTGCTTCTTTATAGTTTCTTACATGAAATAGGGTTTTAAGGTTATACAGATCATAATTATACTTGGGAAGTTGTGTTGATACGGTAAATACAAGTAAAATCATGAGATCGTGAAACTCCGGTACAGTTTGATTATTTCCGTGTCTTACACAGTTGGAATAAGCGTCTATATAACAATGATAGACAATATATATCGTCAACATAATGGTCTAGTTACGGACTTCGACGATGTTTGACGAATTGGTGGCTGAAATACTCGGATTACTTACTATCAAGATTAACTGTTTGTGTAGAAAATATTTCAATTTGGTTCACAGTGTCATATGCTCGGATTGAGAAGTCTAAGGTAGGAACGGACGAGTCTAGGTATTTTAGCTCCCGGTTGGTTCTGATTTCCCCAGTACCTGAAAATAAACGAAATTAGACGGTACGTGCATCATTCGTATGTAACTTTGATGAGCACATATATCAAACTACATTTTAGGGCAGAAATATATGAGAGCATTACTAGCATTGCAATAACTCCTGCACAGACCACTTGTATTTCCATCAGTTAGGAATTTCCTGTTAAAAAACTTCTCGGCTGCAAACGGGCAGAACAAGATGGTGTATAATTTTGATTTCCAAATTATTTCTCGGTAATTTGGAAATCAAAAAGTGCACGCACAGTACATTATCACTGTCACTATGAACAATACTAGAATTTCAATATTTCTCGACAATAAAAAAACTTCTCGACAATAAAGGACTTCTTATAGCGTACAGAACACATTCCATTATTTCCTCGCCTTTTCTGTTATATCTGCCAAGGATTAGAAGATCGCGCTGAACAATTTCAAATTTGTCTTTTATTTTTCGTCATTGTATTAAATCATCTCCAACATTTGCTGGCGTAAAGTTTCAAACTGTCTCAATTTTTCCGTTATGTATGATGTATTGCCAACATTACGTTGATTGAGTACCATGTTTATGTTGCTATAAGTTTCTTTTTTTCAAAACTTGAAAAATTGTTTGTTATATCTTTTGTTTGAATTACAGTACATGTGCAAATAAAGCGCCTTATTTTAAATAAAATAACCTAATAAGATCAACAATTAAATCATATGAGTTATTGTGTAATCTATGTGCCCGTGTTAAATTTAGACATAAATTAGCCAAGGTAAATAAACGTAAAACTTCTATCATACATTCAGGCATCTCCGTCAAACCTCGTTAATTTACGTGGCTAGATACAACTAAGCGACGGCTACACAAACCTTGCGAAGTTTACCAAATTCTCACGAAATTTTCTCTTTCAGTGATATAACAATTTCACTTATTAAGATACAACATTGTAATGTTATAAGGTTTAGAATGTTAAAAGTTAGTCTGTCTTTAAACTCCACAGATAAGAAGCCATGATACCACCATTATAGTGAGAAGTAAAATAGAGTATAACCTCTACAGAAAGACCCTCTGTATAGCAAATACCTCTTCACAACAACAATATTGAATAAATTCCTTCCCAAAGTTAAGATATCCACTATATTTTACCACTGTAGTGCGACACCGAAATATTTCTCACACAAAGGGTGTTGCTTTCACAAAGGTTATACTGTACTCTTTTTTCTGCTTCCGGTGTTGACGACCTTTATTAAATATGACAAAAGTTCAGATCTACTAAGTTATTTTTTGCATGTTTGTGCTCGAAATCGTGAAACTTACCTACCCATTATTGGTTTTGCAGCTGTTGAAATGAGAATCCGCATCGCATTAAAAATTGTGAAAGCTCGACGATATTTGACTGTTTGAAAGGTCACGAGAAGGTGAAATCATATTGGTGCCGGTCAGATCCTCGTGCGAAACGTTAATTAGGAACTGGTTTAATCAGATTGATTTTTGTAACACATATTAACTTACTTGAATCTATAACAAAGAACTCAGGTGATACAGATGGGTCTATGGTCATGTTGTATTTTATATCATTACTGGATGTTGAGTCGATGGTCTTTACAAGAGTCCTTTGGCCTACGCCGAGTGCATTCAACGTTAACAGGTCTGCAAACAAAATGTAAAACAAGTTTTGGTAAAATTCGTCGAGCCATTATTTCAGTTATTATTCTTCAATAAACCCAAATGTTTTAATTTTATATCTGGGCTTGTTTGAGACTGTAAATACGATATGTCTCGAGTTCAAGTCCAAACTAATAGATCAAAACGTTCGCTTTGTCTTTAGTTCAGACTTTAGAGGAACTCTATAAAAGCATAAAATTTCTTACATACATACTATCCTGTACATTTTATTTTAAAATGGCAAGGACTATCCTATATAGTTCTGTAATATATATATAGCTAATGAAATCCCTAGACTTCAGCTCGTACTTTTAAAATGACCAATGAAAATTCTTCTTATATTCTGTTCTTCCCTGTAAATTGTACAGGAAGTCAAACTGAATTTCAGACGGCCTTTGGCCAAAAAAGAATCGTCTTGAATCTTACTTGCTGCGCCCTCTGCATTGTTGACTGTTACCAACTGATTATCCACTACGTTCACTTCAACGTCGAGTGCTTGACTGACTTCGGCGTTGATATCAGTGCATTGCAACGTGTTATAAAACTTGTCAATAGTTGCAAAATCGAACGCTGTCAAACCGGTCGTGCGCAGCTCATAATCTAAATATATAATATTGATGTATCAAAGACAAGTACACAATATCAAAAAAAAAAGGATCCATATACATATTTACATATCAAAGACAAGTAAAACATAATTATAAAAAAGAAGATCCATATTGACGATGCTTTACTTCTTCAAAATAGATATTGACATCATTTGCATAATGACAGCATTTGCATAATTTAAGAATACATATTGACTGCATTCCAACATCATAGAGGAAGCTATCCAAGTAGCTTGCGCAATGTCGTTGATTCTTCTCAGATGCCCTTTGGTGCCTGAAAGTATGCTCAAAGTAAAATACGAGGTCTTCCTCCACCAGTTAAGCTGGTGAGTTGCCATATGACTTATACTAAACGACGTAAAACCCAACAAAAACAAAAAACAACAACAAAAAGAACAAACAACAACAAAAACAAACATACTTCCAGTTAATGCGTTTAAAGAAACATCAAATTGGTCGTAGGTACCTGGCACGGCCACGCCGTCTTTTTCTGCTGATATTGTATTAGAACAGGTAAAGGAGTTTCCGTTGGGGTCTTGCACAGTGTATATATAAAGTAACCTTGACCCACTTTCAAGGTCACTGACGTACTTTTCCGTTGGGAGTTGTTGAATAACCGGAGCCTTTAATCAAAAAAAAATCATGATAATAAGTTCCTATTATTAAATAGAAATTATTTGGGCATCTTTCTGTATCTGTATCTTGCACTTACCTCCAAAATAAAAAATGACTTATATCCTTCTGGAGGACTCACCCATTTGGGCAACCGGTTGCTAGTATAAATAAACTCAAATACTAACATTGTTCCATCCTTAATTAGAACATACATAATCTTTAAGTCTGTAACATTACGTTTAAAGAACACATTAATAAAAATATTACGTGTTTTTACTCAGTTTGGGGTTTTTGAACATTTGAACATTAAAGATTAAATTGGTTGAAATTATCATATGAATGACTAATAAAGTACACATACTGCAGCGTCTGTTGTCACAATATTTCCCAGAATAACAAAGCACATTATTGTCAATTTCATCATGGTGTGTAACTATCCGTTGTTGAACAACAACTCGATTGTTCTCCCTTATATTGATCTATTCTTATTATATCACAATATTTTCATCTACAACGACAATCACTGATGTACATTCCGTCTATATAATATTACCAATAAAATGACTTATCGAGAAAAAAAAACTGTTCACGCTTTAACCGCCAAATCTTTTTCGACTTTTTAATTTTATGTTTTTCAACTGCCAAATCCTTTTAGATTTTTTTTTTATTTCATTTGTTCTCTTTTTATATAAAATACAGAAATTATCCCATAGGTAGTTATAGTTGTTTTGATAAATAAGTGTACCTTTAATATACTCTTTTAGTTTCTTTTGACAACAAATATCTTTGAGAAGAAATAAATAAAGAACCGATTTACTGTCAGTATTTTCAATGATGATATTTATGCATGGTATAGATCGGTAAATGGTTCTACAGATATTTATCAGATCGATTCAAATCTACTTAAAATTCAATCAGATAAATCGATGTAGAAAGAAAAATAGGAGCTCCGTATTCAAATGCCTTTTTTGTTGTTGAATAATTATGTGAATAACTGAATATGTATCAAGTCACGTGACTAGATAAACACATAAACAGTTTAAACACTTTATCAACAGAGTATAACATTAAGCAATACGTTTTCAATGAATTCTTTGATACGAAATGAAACACATCGCAAACATTCTGAAGAGTTCAATAATCAATATTCTATTGATGAAAAATCAATAATCATTAAGCGGGGTCAACAAAATCTTGGTTTTATTTATGATTTATGATAAATATTTATTTGATATTTCGTGCGCATTTTAAATGTACGTAATAAAGATATCAATTGACGACAAGGAAAATAAGATAAATCCCAAACAATATGGAAAAATTGACGTTCAGTCAACATGCGTAAATTGAAGTGACGGGTCAAACGTCTGTTGGCTACGTATTTGTATTATAATTCAATTTCAATTAATGTTGTACTTTTATTTGAGCACATGCGACGTTAGGAATTAATTATGAATCAGCTATGGTATGCGTTGATAATCAAATTATAGCCAGAAGTTTTATAATTATAAAACTTTAGTTGTTCAAAATTTTATAGCAAATTTAAAATATTGATAAAATATTGAAAAAGGAAAGATTTAGCTGAAACTCGATTATTTTGTGTCTATCTCTTTTGAATAAAAGAACAGACCAAAATTCGTTTAATTGAAAGGATTCCAAAATGGTTTAAATATGCTTCTTTACAATTGAGATTTTATAGATAATGTTTAAGCAATAAGAACCAGACGACACTTATTCGGCTCGAACCTACAGCGTGAGAATTCATCAACCTTTACCAGTCGCAAACGGACGAAAATAAAAGGATGTGTATAAATCTAATCACAATTTTTGTATACTGGGAGTGACACAGAACTTTCTTAAGATCCTCTTCATTATCACTTTAAATTCGCCATTTCCCATCTATAAATGAGCCACGTCAGGACAAAACCAACGTTATGCGTTTGCGACCAGCATGGATCCAGACTAGCCTGCGCATCCGCGCAGTCTAATTAGGATCCATTCTGTTCGCCATCAGTTCCTCTACTTCTCATAAGGTTTTTAAGCGAACAGCATGAATCCTGATCAGACTGCGCGGACGCGGATGCCTTACGCTGGTTTTGTCGTGACGCGGCTCAAATTTATTGACTTGTTTTCTTGGAACACATAAACCTGTTTGTCATGTTATCACTTTACATGTGAAGGAAGAATTGTGATCCTCCGTGGTATGGGTGGATATTTGAAACCGGCCTTTGGCCAATGAACTTATGCATTAACTTTCTTACATACAAGAATTCAAGTTCTTGTTAGGTTTTGAACTTAGGCGGTGATGAGGGGCATATGATTCAAAGGCAGTGGTATCACCGACTATCTTGTTGGTACGTTAAGTAGCATGGAGTACTCCATGGAACAGTTTCTGAGGAGCTCATATTCATTCTGGGTTGAAAAAACTTAAACTTTGAAACATTTTGATATGATTTGCTTTATTTAAAATATCAAAAACATATTCTTCCAAATTTATTTCTATATATAAAACGAAAAAATGCGGAGTATGACGAGGTACAATAATAATTAACAATTTAAAGGCCCATGATGCCTCAGAAACAAATAACTCCGTTTTTTTTCTTTAGAAAGAGCAAACATCAATTTCATGATATTTAAATAATGGTGCAACAGAAATGTTAGGTGTGTGTTACCTGAACAAAGTAGCGATCAATGTGAACTAATTTATCATAAAAGTAGTAAAATATTTGTATTTTGACATACAAAATACAATCTTTACTAATTGCCAAAAAAACCAGATGGTTTAGGTAATTGTCCAATAAAAAAACTTTTTGGATAGTATAATAGTATAAGGTTTTGAGAAATAAAAACAAAAGCATTTCTGAGGCATAATGGACCTTAAAGAAACCAATGAGCACATAAAGATGATTTGAATTATGATATTACATCAATAATGGAATAAAATAAAATCATTTCAGACAAAATATTTAAACTCATTTTCTAGAGTTCTTTTTCCTGGAGAGGTTAGGTTTTTGTTGCTTTAAGATACGAATGAAACTAAAAAAGTGCTGGAAAACCACACTAAATGCCGTAAATCCGGTAAATACCGGAAAAGCCGCTTTTCACTAAACGATTTGAACTAAAAAACGTCAAATTCACCTCTTCACGCCGAGATGTATAAGATGGTTATGAAAATTGTAAGAATCGGCAAAAAAACCCCATATTTTCTCCTTTGTGATCATGATTTCTGCAAGCAGGCAGGGGTAGCGCCCCAACACTGTAGTTAAATCGGTTAAATCGGCGTTATAAAGTTATAACGGCGGCTGGTTCAGGGTCCCTTACTGGTGCGCCTCTTCTTAGGTCATGTCATGCGCGAGCGGGAACCCGAGTGGAACCACCGAATTTACTTATATCTATTATAATACAGCCCCACCTTTAATCTTTGACAGCATTGTAAATTGTACAAACAATTGCAGAAACCAGAAGAATTTTAGTTTGGAAAAATAATTGCAATAACATCGTACTAAACATTTATGTCTTTGTACATTCTTCATTCTGGATCTAGAGTTAACTCGGGGTAATATAAAGATTCGCACCTTTGACGGTTCGAGTTATTCACCACAGCTTCTTAATTTAGCGATATTAGATAGTTGTTGTTGTTGATGATGATGATGATGATGATGACGATGATGATAATGATTGGGTGGTTAAAAAAACAATGATAACAACAATTTTAAAGATAAAACTAACATTAATAACAAAAGCTTTAAAACTATCACAGTTCTTCATCTCACTTTTAAATGAGTGCGATGATTTCACTTTACATTTCATGTACTGTACATTTATTTGTGTCCGTCTGTCCGTACGTGACACAGGATGATTCGTAAATTAACGACGTGGTAAGAATGAAACATTATTTTGTATTGCAGAATGAATGTCAAAGTAGTTCGTCATGGGAAGTATCCCGGTGGTAGGGCACCAGTCTGAAATGGTCGAGGAGGCATCGACGGGGCTGACCTCACAATAGGATATCCCATTTGCCGACTGAATGAAACAGAAAAATATAAAGTAAACATTTTATCATCTACATTATTACATAATATTTATATGCTTTTATGTCAATTTTTTGTTTTATTTAAAGAAATATTGTTTTTCCGTTTACACACAAACAAAGTTGACCAATTTGACCTGATCTCTTGAGAAATTTAAAAGGTAACTTAAAAATTTATTTCATAGTTATCCAAAAGGTTATACATATTGCATATCTTCGGAATATTTCGTTATTTTCCGTACTTGAGAAAAATCAATTAAGCGTCGATGTGACTTAAGGCCTCAACAGACGGTAGGATTTTGAAGTACAACACCAATTAAAACTAAGATGTACAGACAAATCTTAATGTGTGAAGGCTACTATTTCTTGATTTCGGAAACCTTATGTCGAGATGTAAGGGATAGGACATGTTCTATTTTGAAAATCTTGTCGTACCGATTTTTACAGACCTCCCACAATGACAAGTAACAGATAAGCAAATTATCTCCTGATAATGGATGTTATGAATGAAATTCCAGAACAATTAGGGCTAAAAGGTAAACATAGTAGTAAGATGGGGTAAAAATGATGTTGAAAAACTCTTCAGGAGACCCAAAGTTGTGTTGTGTTCGAATCCCAAATTATTCCGAAAATGATTATGTCACGGTATTGAGATGTTCTCTAATAACATGAATTAGGGAGGTAGTTTGTAGGCGGCCACATAGCTTAGTCAGTAGAGCCGCAGTACGGTATTCCGAGGGTCCCAGGTTTGAGTCTCGGTCAGGCTTCACATTTAAAAAAATATATATATATTTTTTTTTTAAATGGAGGTGTTTTAATCATTACTCATGGTGAAAAAAAGTATTAAGTGAGTAAAGTATGTAAAGGATCAAAGTAAAGGGATCCTTTTTAGGGGAAACCTCAGAAGATTCTTACAGTATAGAATTACCGTCTGAATGCAAGTGTTGTATAGCTTTGAAAATTGTACATCTTATCTCTAATTAGTGCTGTACAGCTAAATCCTACCGTCTGTTGAGGCCTGAGCCCTCAGACTTCTTTAAAAGTAAATATAAATCACGGAAACTTACGAAGTTGGCCGACATTTAACGAACTATTAAACGCTTATACTTACAATCCGCCGTACCGTGGCGGAGCCAGGGTCCGATGTACGACTGGTACTCGTTTTTCCGTAATTATCTGCCTAGGTGGTTCCTCAACTATTTTCCCTGTAAACAGTCCATAAATATGTTCCTTAAAGATTACATGTATGAATTTAAACACGTGAACATTTTCCCAAACGTTAGAAAATAAGTGTGTGTGTTGACAGATGGTCTCTTTTAGATTTGAGCCGCGTCATGACAAAACCAACATAATGGGTTTTCGATCAGCATGGATCCAGATCAGCCTGCGCATCCGCGCAGTCTGATCAGGATCCACACTGTTTGCTTACCAACTCTATTACAAGTATAGAAACTGATACCGAACAGCATGGATCCTGATCAGACTGCGCGGATGCGCATGCTGGCCTGGATCAATGCTGGTCGCAAACCCATTATGTTGGTTTTGTCCTGATACGGCTCATTTGTGTATTTAGTATACGTTTGTTTGTTTGTTTCATTTTACGCCTTTTTCCAACAGTATTTCAGTCATATAGGCGGGTAGTTTCCTAACCATCGTTCCTGGAGAGTACACCAGTACTAAACTACCTTCCTCCGCGCTAAACTACCAAAGCATCTCCCGGGGATCGAACCCACGCCAGAGAGGTAACTGGATTAAAAGTCATCGACTCTAACCCCTCGACCACGGAGGCGGCTATACAAATAATAACATGTAATGCTACAATATTCTAAGATATTACATCCACTATTGGTTCGTGATAATTCGGCAAATTCGGTTCTTTTGCTTGACTTTTAAATAATAATAATAATAATAATATAAATAATAATTATTATTATTATCATTATTATTATGCTTATTAAAATAATAATTATTATTATTACGATGATAATTATAATAATTTTAAACTGTTTATTTAACGAATAAATGTCATATTACCAAGAGCAATAAAATACAGTTATAAATTCTAACACAATATGGCTTAAAGAAGAAAAAAAGATAAAGCGAAATAATTTCGCCTGTTGCCATGAAAGTGATTAGGAAAGATGAATTATGTTACGCAAAGAATCCAACCAGTTAGGTAAGGGATGGTCGGTCTGTCGGAAAAATATAAGTAGCAGCGCCATCTGGGGCCGTTCTTTAAAATGGCTGCAAATCCCGCAATATGACTTACATTGTGTCGGTGTGAACTTATTTCGTTTACAATTAAGAACAAGGTTGAATATGAATTATACTTACTAGGAGGTCGATGTCTGAAACATAGAAAATAATTATAAAATAACAGACGGCAATGCACTAAGCCTATGATAGTAAGACAAACAAGTGAGTATAATTACAGTAGTTTCATTTTTATATTGTAATTATTTTTTCTGTATATAACATGATCTCTATGGCACTGTTTTTTAAATATTTAATAACGAGAGATCCTTTGGTATGTCGTTCATGTTTTATCACAGAACTCTCTTCGTGTCGTTACTACATACCGAAATCCGAACAAGGGGCACTATGGCTCATGTGGTTAAGGTCGCTGACTTCGAAACACTTGCTAATCATCACTGTATGTTCGAAACTTAGCGGAGACATTCTTATATCTGGAGACATTCTTATATCTTAGGAAGATTTCCAACTAGCTTGCAGACGGTTTGGGTTTTAAGTTTTAACTTAGGTGCCAAAGACTTCCAACTAGCTTGCAGACGGTTTGTGTTTTAAGTTTTAACTTAGGTGCCAATACATACATGGAATAAGTAGGTGAACGAAGGGCACCGAAGGTCTTCCTCTACCATTAGACTGGTGGAAAGTCGTAATGCAACCTTTACAGGGTCAACGTGACTTGTAAGGAACACAAAACTTGTAACAGTAATATCATAAATGCTTTTATACCTTACTTTTAAAATACCTGTAGCAAAAATAGTTTTCTAAAATATTTAAAAGCATCACGGTTGATCAACACTTTATGACACCACATCATATTGTAGCAATATATCGGCAATCAGGTAAGAAAGTTACAGGAACTGCCCTGACATCTAAAACAATTTTTACTTTCTTATATAGATCAATTTGCACCGAAACAAAGATACACAAGAAAGATATACACAAGATAATTAAGAAATATACTCGAAAATAAAGCGAAATTGCTATCTTTTTTAATATTCTGAGTCCGATTTGAATGAAAAACTTTTCGTTTTTGGGTTTAAGCTTTCAAAACTAGGATGATTTTTTCCGAACAAACGAAGTGAGCAAATGATCTGAAATTTTGTACACAAGTTATTGGTCTCTACAATTAATTGAGCATTAATTTCGAATAAATATTTCCAATCCTGTTTTTGCCCCCCCCCACCCCCCAAAAAAACTCAGTGAAGTCCCTTGAAACTCCTCTTTTAAATATATAAAATTATACATACTCGTATTCCGGTGTAACAACCCTACGTTTCTGTCTTTGCGGCATTCTGTATAATGAAAACAAATCCCATATTAAGAATAAATTTCGATAGAAATTGAAATAAACTACATACTGTACTCTTCTATTATTTTTTTCTCTGGGTTATGGATTCAACATCCACAGGTGCCGTCTGTATGGCCACTTGTATGGCTAAGCAAAGTCTGACAGTTCGAGTCTCCTGTACAACAACGTATTTTGACGTAGCAACTTGATTGATATGGAACAGTGGGCATTTATTTGGTATAAATTGCCCTTTTAAATGAGTTAAACATTTCCAAAGAGAAACATTTTGCATCAAGATTACCAAAATAATAGTAGGAATCTCTTCGAACCCCTCATGTAAATGGTCTGAAACATCTATCAGAGAACTAAAGGTTTACGTATCATTATTCAAATATCGATACTCTGCTCAGCTTAGCATCCATGACGATGCTCGATGAAGAAGCTATACAGATTATGTGCAATATTTCGAACTTAAGACAGTTGATTGCAATCTTACATAATTCTAACACAATATGGATTAAAAAAAACAAGGAAACTTTGCATTATGCACCACCAGTAACTTGTAACACTGGCCCCATTCCCATAGAAAAAGTGAGGAGTTTGACCTTTGAATAACGAATTCCCCGGGAATAGGTCCGTCTGGTGGGAACAGTCACGTGAAAAGAATTCCCGCCATATCCATGCACTATAAACTAAAGAGTTTGACATAACCTTCGATATTTTGGCGCAAAACCAAAACCACGGCATTGATCAGGTCTTACCAGAAGGTACAGATTTAGCAGAATACCACTACTATCACACTCTCTGTCCAAAGAGGGTGTTTGTTTACAACTGATTGGTGCATTGTGGGATAAAATCATTATTGTTACCTTCTGCCACGGTTCCGGTACCCACAATCACACATGTTGCCACACATGCCGCCACCGCCACAGACCCCACCACAGCACAATCTGAGGCATAAATACAAGAGCAAGCCCAGGAGTGCAAGACCCATGAGTAACGCTAGACAGAACAGTGCTATGTTTACTTCCTCGTCGAAAAAATTGAACTTTTCTGTTGTTGTTGTCGTTGAAGTTGTTGTTGTAGCGACTTCCTGATATACGATATCGAGCGCGGTAGTTCCTGTTTTCTGGGGAGTGCCATCGTCAACAGCGTAAGCGAGGAAACTTGAAAAACATTTTGTTAAAGTACATTGTATTTTAAAGAAAATTTGAGTAAGCAAAGAAATAACAACTTACAAGCTAACTTTACAATGGTATTTCGTTTGCGGAGCTAATTACAAGCATGTTCTTAAGTCGACCTTGAATTTCTCATCAAACGTTGTTGCAAATTTGTTCCATTGTCCAACACCGCCGAACAAGGCATTAAATTTTGTAATCAATATACTTGTATTTCACAAACATAGTCTAAGTCATTTCGCGACTTTCAAGCTTTACTGGTGGAATAAGACCTTTCCATACATTGTTTGCAAGCACCGGGTCGCTGTGGGTTCGAATTCCGACCGGCACTTTGGTTTCATATGAGGAAGCTATCCAGCTAACTCACGGAACGTCGGTGGTTCTTTTCAGTTATCAGATGCCCTTTTGTGCCCGAAGCAATGTATAGAAGATCCACTGAGATCTAATTCCACCAGTAAAGCTGGACATTTTTTTGTGCGACGTAAAACCCGTTCAAAATAAAAAGAAAGAAAAACTTGGTTATTTCATTGAAGGCAGATTGCAGAAAATAAATTTCTTCGCTGTTTAACGGATGGGTTTAATGCTTAAATTTTATCCTATAATAATGGCTTACCCACTAGTTGTCTCATCTAAACCAATATGGTGACTTACCTCGTGTGCGTCCCGCTTGAGAAATCTATCGTTTTTGCCAGATAAACATTGCAGTCGGCACCGACGGTGTAATAAGCACTGAACGATGTCGATGCTACGTGAGAACACGTCAGATCGGCGTTTGTTGTGCTATCGGCGTCAGATGGCGTTATTGTTCCTGTATATGACATAATAGATTATGTGAAATTATTGGCAGATTTCATTTTAATTACGCTGATGTTAAACAAATATTAAACTAATACTATAAAAGAGTTAGTAAGAATTTTAGCTGATGAGACGTCTTAATATTATATGTTACGTCATACGTCATATTTTTTAGAGCATTCATTACTAACAATTTTGACAAGAGAGTTACCTATGATGGATCCTGGTGCTATAGTCTGGTCAACAGCTATTGTATACGTCGGAGATGAGAAAATGGGCTCATTGTCGTTTACATCCTGTGTAAAAAATGATAAAAAAACTTTTCTTGATTTAGATTCTTTAAACCTATTATCATTAATTACATAAATAGCGTTGATACAATTAAACAGTTGGTTTTAAGCCCGATTGCGAAACAAGTTTCTTGCAACTTATATTAATCACTTGCGAGTCCGCTTCCTATAGAACCAACTAGGACTGGTGTCATATGAAGAACCATGATTAGGCTCGAACCCATGATCTCTTATATACGTTCATCACATGACTTTGATTTCAGTAAGCAATGAGTGATTTTTTATAGTTGTTTATATCTTAAATTTCAAACCAGATTTATAAAGATATATAATGGTCTTTTTGTGACCGACCCGTTTTGTGTTTTTTTTTCACTACATGTCTGTCGAATGGAACGAAGATCAGGTTCGAGAGTTCGAGTTATCAGTGTTCGAGGTAGAACAGTATAATTATGTTATATAAGGTTTTGCCCGGACCAGGTGGTGTGTTCGATCGAAGAGAGTAAATCTGTTGTTCGACCGATCCATTTTGCCCTGTCCTTTTCAAAGTGTATTTGTTAAATTCTATGTAAAATAACAAATCGTGTAAGATACTTTACAAAATTGTAAGACTAATTTTATATTTTGATTTTACACCGTTGACACGCATTGTACGTTGAAAAGTTTGTTAAAATTACATAAATATACATTGTACTAGGTTCCTGTCCAAACAATTGTGTGTATCAGTTTTCTTTATTTTTCTAATGATACAATTTGTAGCGTTTGTAAGCTCGGACATCTTTATTTCTAACTGTATTAGTGGAATGTCCTTGACATAAAAATGGCCAATGCGTTATATCAATACCTAATATGAAAAGCTTAGAAGTAACATCGGTACGGATTTATCAAATAAATGCATTATTTATTCAGCATTTTCTAAGGATAGTTCCAATTTCTGCTAAGGCTACTCACTTCAATTGTTACGGTAACTTGGGCTGTTCCAGTCAATGATACTCCATCAATGTGACCAGAATCTATACAGTTCACGGTCATGACGACTGACGACGGCATATTGCTGTTGTCTACGTCATAGTCGGTATTGAACGTGAAAACGCCGGTTGTTGAATCGACCCAAAACCTGTCACTAAAATTGGAAGGGTGAAGGTCATAGGTCACTGAGTCACCGCTATCTGGATCAGTACACGTTAAACCCGGGTCGAAAGATATACTTCCTTTCTGAAAAAACAAAACAAAACAACAACATATAGCTACGCAAATAAACTCTACATCAACCCTAAAACACTTATTAACACGACATGTGGTATTGTTATTATCAGTATCATTATTATTATTATCATAATCTTTATCATCATTATTATTGACATCATTGTTATTATTGTCATCATTATTCATGCAACTACATGACTGTAACTATATATCCTTCATTTGAAAATGTTACAGAAAATGCTATATAGTGGACAGGTCATTGGCTTTAATTTCAACCAGTGGGTAGTCTCTTAAGAAAGCGATTACCTGTATATAAAGTTTCAACAGTGACAACACTTTGAAGTTACCTGAGTCTGTCTGTGAATTTTAGAGTGAATGCATAGTGAAATGGCCTACATTTATAACTAAGGACCTAAGTGAAAGCTTTTTTGGAAGAGAAATATTCCAGTGGTTGCCTGTGCAACTGTCAACAACAAATATGTTCAAATTCATATTTATAAAAAATGTACATGTACGTACCGCTCCTTCTGAAGTTGTGACAAAATACATGGTGTCACTAAAGACCGGAACCTCGTTGTCATTAACGACGGTCAGTTCTAGAATAAAAGGTCCACTTTCCTCCACGCCATCGTCAATGTAGAAAGAACAATTTAAGAATGATATACTTTCATAGTCCATCGTTTGACCGGCAGCAATTTTGAAATTACCGTCTGAAAAAATGACAGAATATAGTGTTTAAATGAATATTGTTTTGTATGCTGCGAAAATTGTCGTCTGCTAATACGCCGTCTGCTTTTACATTCCGTTTATCAAGTTTTCTTGAAATAAGTACATGTAATAGAAAGAGCCCCGAAACTGGAGGCTATCTGAGTTGTACGAGGGTGAGCCTGAATATGATATATGATATGTCTATAGCCATCCCTTTCTATGTCGACAAATAAGTAAACCTTAGAAAATTTGAACCAATCAATGGTCATGCTCTGGAGTATGGGTACCTAATACCTGCACTCCAGTTAACGCACTGTGCATGTTTATGTATACGATTTATTTCTGACACATTTTCAAGAGAAAGGTCCCCAAACTATGACACAAGAAAAAATGAAATAAAAATAACTTGTCACTTACTGACGTCCAGCTCAAAAATATCTTCGCCAGCAGTAGGAGTGCACGTGTACCTGTAACTGTGGGACTGAGATGAGTCCGGGTCGGCAACGTCGAGAGTAAACAAAACTTCCCCTGCGGGTAAGGTCTCCAACTCGGCCAGCTGTAGTGGGGTGTACATGTTGATAGCGGAAGCCAGCGTGTTTTGATCTATGAGCAAGAAAGGGTCAGCAAAAATAGCATAGATCGGTTTTTCTTTGCATAATACAGTAATATACTGTATGTTATTTTTCAGAATATTGTAGTTAATTTCGTCAATGCAAATTCTGTTTCTGTTTTATTTTGTGACTGATTTCTGGTATTTCCTGTCTTCGTTCCTCAATCCTCTCGTACACGTACTAACGTTACATCAACGTTATTTGATTAGTGGAAAACGCACAATAACCACACTTTCAGACTTACCAACTGAGTTGAGTCATTGTCAAAACAATTGTTAAAAGCCCATTATGCCCAATAAATGCGATTATTTTTTATCTCTTGAAACCTTTTTTTTTTCGATTTTGATGTACTTTTATGGTTAATAAAAAGTTACTCATCGACCTTACTCATCTAAGCTTGTTTTGCTTCAGTTATAGCGATTTAGTTTATGGTATGGAAGAAAAAATACCAGTTTGATTACATTTTCCTACTGTTAAGAAAACATATTTCACATTTAGCGCTACTTTTGCGAGGTTACAAGCAGCTATTTATAATTTTAAAACCATTAATATAATGCTGTTTTACTCATAAATGCCCTTTATAAAGAAGTAAACATTTATTCATTTCTGAGACACAATGTGCCTTTAACTAGCGGTATTATTTCCTAACAATCGAAATTTGCAATTTGAGTGGAAGAGTACAAATGATTCAAGATCTTGGGGCATTTCATCAATCATCCACGGAGGTTCAAAAATATCAATTCTACTAAAGTACAAAGATCTTCATTACAAAATTAAATACTTACTATTGAAATGAACGGTCTGTACAGAGTATGTTTGTATTTGATTTACCGAATCTGTCGCGGTAATTGTTAGATAAACTGTTGTGTCAGCTGTATCCAAAAATTTCAGGTCCCTGTTCGTCTTAATTTCACCAGTACCTTAAACCGAATAAAATCTTAATTAGCCCGTGCGGGAAGTGATAATTTTACTCCGTGTCACGGCAAACATTAAATTTACCAGAGCACATTTTCAAATACTGCATCGTTCCTGGGCAAGCTGGCAAGCAGTAAACCAGTACTATCTGCCTTCACTTTCGCACGGAGGTGGTAATTTCTATATATGCCAGTGCAGAGGTACAGAAAGAAACGATTTCATGACCACAACGAAAGTTGATAGGGAAAGGAACCTAGGGTCGCCTATTCACAATTCAACGCCTTACCCATGAAGCAAACCGGACGGCTCTTTCTTAGCTTTTAAACTTTATGATTTTTATTATGAACTTGTCCTGTCTACAACTTTGAATAGTCCATTAAAAGATTGGGATTGCAACATTGAATTTTTTTTTAAAAAAATCAAACAGTGTGTGAGCCCCTGGTCTGACTGTTACGGGTAAGCATGTTTAGCCTCGTTCTTTTCATGTGGCGAAGGCTTTTTTTGTTACCAATCAGGGGAAAAAAACAACAACCACAAACAACAAAAAAAACAACAAAAAACATTACTTACTGTTGTTGATAACAAAAAACTCTGGCGAGAAAGACGGGTCACTGGTCATCGAGAACTTGACAGGATTGGCTGACGTCGCGCTGACCGTTTTCACAATTTGTCCCGACACAGTTGCCAAAGCACTTAATGTTAGGTCGTCTAAAATACACAATACTTGTAAAGTCGTCTCAAAGACTGATTTGCATAAAAATGTATTTTTATCTTGAATTGAGTATACTGGCTTAAAAAACTGTAAGGCTACCTTGGGAAAAAGAATGTTTACAAATTTGTACTCTACAAGTGGAATACGGTATATAAGTTTTAAATTTGTATTTATTATGCAAAAGTAATACCTCAGCTTTAAATACATACTCTATGATAAAAAGAGTATATTTGCTTTTAATCTAATATGTATTATATGTTGGTAGAGTATATTCGCTTTTATTATGCACTATATATAGAATAGAGTATATAAGCTGTAAATATGTACTTAAAGGGATACTCAGGCAAAATAATGGCAAAAATATAAAAATGATTTTCTGTACTCAAATCACCCTAAAATAACATTTCTTAAAGTCCCAACATGAATTTCTGTATAAATTCTATATATTTTGGGTTTGAAGTTTAAATATATCTATATATGTTGAACGAAATTTTGACACGAACAGAATCACCGAATAGTTTAAAAACAAGTCATGCGATTTGAACAAACCCTGGAAGTTACAATAACAAATATTGTGGATATTGTATGATTGAAACAAGTCTAAGTTATTGATTTGACATGTTTTTTAACGTTTCCAGAGTACAGAGTGACAACTATTGTGAAATTTTAGCCCTCTAACCTGACCCACGCGGGTCAAGTTAGGAAAACACCATTTTATTCTTTATATGGAGAAAAGTTTTGTTCCTTTGACTGTTTAGTGTATTCATTTTGAGGACATTTACAGAATAATGAATGAAAATTTCAAAACTAAGAAATGAAAATTTTGCCTGTGTCTCCCTACATACTACATACTTAAACTGGAATAGAGTAAATGAGTGATGGGTGGAATAGAGTTTATTCGCTTCAATTTGTACTAAGTGTGAAATTGGTTATATTAGCCGTAAATATGTACTTTATGTGGAATAGAGTGTATTTGCGTTGAATATGCATGTATATACTCTATGATGCATAGAATATGTTCGCTTTTAATATGTAGAATAGATTATATCAGGTTTTACAAGAAATAAATTTAAAATAAATTATGGAAAAGAACAAATTTCATTAAAAGCGACTGAATCAAAGTATGAGGAACAGAGGGAAGCGTGTTCGAATAAAATGCATCATACATCCAGGTAACTCAGTAAACCTTAAAGTCGAGAACTTACTTGAATCGCCCTCCACATTGTTTACTGTAGTTTGTGTGTTGTCCTCCAAAACAAGATCGATGTAATTATTCCCCGTGCTAACTTCACCATTTGAATCTGTACACGTGACAGTGCACCGGTAACTGTTTGTGGTGGCCGTGTCAAAAGCAGTTCTAGGAGGTACGGAGTTTGTCCACAACTGATACTCTAAAATTAAATGATATCAAAATAGAACATTTTCTTGATTTTCAAACAATGAAATCGCTGGATGGTATTACATGCCTTTAATCATGAGCAATTTTATTTTTCATACAGTTTTTTCGCGTTTAAATGCTCCACCTATTTCCGTTATCCTATCTGGAGACGCTACTGAAGGTTCTTTTATATTAACTAGGACTATTGCTTGCTTGCTTGCTTAATTGATTGATTGATTGGTTGGTTGGTTCGTTGGTTGGTTCGTTGGTTGGATCGTTGGTTAATTGATTGATTGGATGATTGATTGATTGATTGATTGATCGATTGATGGATTGATAGATCTAGGCAATGAAAGTGAAGGCTATGATGAAAATGTATACATGTACTCGATCTGCCTCCTTTACTCTATAATATTCAAATATTATATCTGATAATCTGAACAATTTCAATGATATATATCATTATCTGTTATTAATCATGTTGGTTACAGTTACAAATGCCTTTTTCATGTCGTATCTGGGAAAAATTTAACAGTTCCTCGGTCCTTTCCGTCAACTTCGGTCCTTTCCGTCTAATAGCCGAGATGTTCCAATTGCAAATTTATGTCATGACGTTGACACAGGGGACCTTGTCAAAATTAATGTAGATAGAGTTCACAACAGTTGTATATCTAATTTTGATATGTATTTATTTGTATACATATAGAGTCTAAGCAAATATTGACTCCTATTTCTATTATATTCTATGCGTTTGGTAGCTCAAAGTTTGTATGCTGTTATTAAAATCTTTAAAACCCGAATGGACTGTTCCAACATCGTCGGAACCCATGGGTACTGATTTCGCTGACCTACGTGCTGATTTCGCTGAGTACGTGCTGATTTCGCTAACCTACGTGCTGATTTCGCTAACCTACGTGCGGATGAAGTGTTTGTATACGTAACGAGAACATGGGTAACCGAGGATGCTGTTCAAATTGAAAAGGGCAAACCCATTGCACAAATTCAGCTCAAAGATACAGAGTGTTTTTTGATAAAACATACTTACTACTTTGTTCTGTATTATATTTTAGTTTGAATTCGTCTTCGTTGGCTGCCCCCGGTGTGCCAACAATATCTAAAACACACGTGAAGTTATTTGCTTCTGGATCAACTATTGAGAAAGTGTAAAGCAGTCTTTCCCCCGTCTCCGATTCCCCTACCTTCAACTGGGTTGGCAGGCCAGTAAATGTGGGGCGCTAGAATAATAGAAACCGATATTATTTTAAGGATTACGGACCCTAATGAACTGGCATTCAGGACGACATATTGCTATCTTATCACATAATGATGTCACAGTGGGAAACACCTTCATACATGACAACAAATATACTCAAAATAGATATCCGAAAACTATCGAAAGAAAGCGACAGAGGTTCGGGTCATTACGATTCTATACGACATTACCCGATGTTTAACGATTCACTACGTTCCGTTATCCTTAATTGCAATGCACAGTCAATGTCGTGATTTAAACGGCTTTACGATCATTATTGATCCTTATTGGTACAAGAAGACTCCGGGAGACCCTATATGCACAAATGATGTCAAGAGTTATCCTAACAGAATCAGTGGTGTATTTCCACTTTAAACCTCCTATGAGATTCGAACTCACGGCGTCAAGAGAAATATATCTCATATATTCAGTAGCTACAGTATCATCTTAAAATTATTTCTCTTAACTGGACTTATAGTATTAAGACTAAAGGTAATGTCATGCGGTTCATATATATGTACATTTTAGAAGTCTTAAAAAGATATAATTTCATATGATATACCGCTTGACAAAATTAAAGCAAACAAAATAATTATTTTAGTTGCGTATAATTCCCATTTCGCATTATTATCTAAGTTACATATTTGTAATGGGTAAGATGTACGGAATGCCGTTAGGGCCATTGCCTATGAATGTGTTGATCTGAAACGCGATAGTCGATAGTACGATGGTGAAAACGCGAAATCACGAAACTACGATTGTGAAAATGTGAAAGCACGATGATGACAACGCGAAAGTACGATGATGAAAACGCGACAGTACGATACTACGATGATGAAAGCGCGATAAACAATCGTGTTTTCACCATCGTACTGTCGCGTTTTCACCATCGCAGTTTCGTGATTTCGCGTTTTCATCATCGTACTGTCGTGTTTTCATCATCGTACTATCGCGTTTTCACCATCGTACAATCGCGTTTTCACCATCGTACTATCGCGTTTTCATCATCGTACTGTCGTGTTTTCATCATCGTACTATCGCGTTTTCACCATCGTGCTGTCGTGATTTCATCATCGTACGATCGCGTTTTCACCATCGTAGTTTCGTGATTTCGTGTTTTCACCATTGTACTATCGACTATCGCGTTTCAGATTAACACATTCATAGGCGATGGCCCTAACGGCATTCCGTAAAGATGCACTGTTACACTATTTGCCCATAGAAACTACATGTATGTGTAGAATGTATGTAACGAATGCCTTTGGGTTAGAGTTTTTGAGTTTTCTCTTCCTTGGATGTAAAGATACCTCTATGGAATGCACGGTTTATCATAATTATAAAACAGTACTTGTTACTTTCATATTTTGCCCGCAAATGTTGGTCAAAGAGACTGCCTTTCTCTTGGATAAAATATTAAATTTGCGAGCAACCTTTACGGATATAGGGTGTTGAAGAAAAATATATTGAGTATGTGTCGACAAAAAAAATGTTAGGATTTGTCTGTTGACAGGATTTTAGTTTCGCGGTTTAAAATATAAGAGAATAAATAAAAAAAATAACTTACAAATTTGCGGAATACTATGTCGCGAAATTATTGTATTTTGCAGTATTCAAAGAATGGTGTTGCTAAAGTTAGACTAAATGATATTTATTGAATTTTCTTCTAAATATTCTGTTTCAATATACTAAATGGTATTTATTGAATTCATTGCCGAATATTCGGTTTCAAAAGAGTTTATCTTATTTAACTAACCCCTATTAGTTTTCACAGGAGCAATTGTCAATGTATGACAGCAAATTTTTCAAACATAGTTAACAAAAAAGACAAGTTTGCTATAATAATTTGTTATACAAATATAGCTCGTATTTCCCTTTCATTTTCGTATAATCAATGTCTGTTTTGATCGATTGATGAAATTATCATATCTTATATAAAATTACAATTTTGAAATATGTTTTGTATTCCTATTTTCTGTTGCATAGTATATCTATTACCCCCGGAGGTCTTAATATTTCTACGAAAGACCGGTGGGGACATTTTAAGTTCATGACTTCGTTTATTCACAATCTTAATTCCCGGAATTAATTTTTCAACATACAGAATTCACGATTTGAACTTCACAAATTCACGATATGAACTTCAAGAATTCAGTTTCGACTTCATCCATTCACGATAATTTCAACTTCATCAATTCACGAACCACGATTTCAACTTCGTAAATTTACGACTTCAGCTTCGTAAAGTTAAATTGCGAAGTTCAAAATATGAATTCATGAAGTTGAAATCGTGAATTTGTGAGGTTGAAATCGTGAATTGAAGCTGAAATCGTGAATTCGTGAATTTATGAATTCTGTATTTTTAAATCGTGAAATTATGAAGTTGAAATTGTGAGTTCATGAAGATGAACCCCAGAATTTAAGAAGTTGAAATATCACCACCGGTCTGTCGTAGATTTAGGTATAATTGTCTCCGCGTTCAGAAGATATATTGGCGTTACAATTTCGAGTATATCATATATAAAGTAACACAATAGAAATATTTATTTTTGTATTTTCACTACCTGATATATCCATACAAATTTTTATTAGGGTGTCGGGGATTCTGAATGAATAATTTTTCACCCATTAAGACATACTTTCGTTTAATCTATTCATTGTACTGTAATTTGATTAGATGTGTACTTTTCAGTTAGAATATAAACTAAATTTGGACAAACAAAAAGCTTTAGGAAGTCTTAATCTGCTAATGCTAGGTTCCTCTTTTTGTGTGTAGAACTGGCATTTGGTACAATGGGCTGGTTAGGACAGGTTAGGGCGGAGGGCGTGACAAGGAAAATAATATTAGTTTAGCTTATGAAGGTATATCAAAGTTTGTATTGTAATATTTAGCTTTGAATTGAAACCTGGGTGTTTGGTATGTCTTTATGTCTTGGGAATGGGTTTAAGGAAGGTGTAATATTGAAATCTCATGCTCAAACGTTATACTATTCCATTTTCAAAATAAAGTAGAGATTCACATAGTATTACATAATGTTAATATTAGAAATAAGCCACTGCCATATAACTTACCGCTGTTTCTGCAATCGAGAGAAGCTGGTAAAAAACAGCAATGGACAATAAACAAAACACAACCAATTTTGCCATCGGGGTGTCCCGCCGAGCAGAGGCGACCTTTATATACTTTGCGAAAGTTGAATTGTATCAAGCTAACACGTTGACTTTGTTGCTATGACAATTGTTGCTGTTGTAGTCGATGTCGTCGTCGGTGTTGTTGTTGCTTTTATTGATATATTTGTTGTAATAATTGATGTTGCTGATAATTCTCTTGCAGTTGTTGTTATTTCTTATGTTATATAATTTTAATCAGTTGTTGTTTGTATTGATCCCGTTGTTGTTAGTTCCGTTGCTGTTGCGTTGTTAAACCAACTGTTGTTCTGGTCGCTGTTGATGCCGCTGTTGTTTTTTTGTTGTTGTTTGTTCCTTATATTGTTCGGCTGTTATTTGTTGTTGCTTTCTTACATTACTAGCTAATTATACCTGCAATAGAATAATAAACGTAAAAGCAGCATCTCTCCAGATTCATGCTGATTTGCATATGGTCAAAATATGCAGAAAAAAACAAACTATTATTGCGTTTATTACGCAGTAGAAATATGGTGATTAATTATGGTAAATATTGATGGTATGCCATCATTCTATTTTTCCACTAATGCGTGAGCAGCAGAAATGACTATATAAGTTGTTTTTATTCCATCAGTATAGAGTCAAAGACACCCGGCATCTGCGCATTTTGTTCGGACTCTGTACTTCCGGTTACACTATTTTAATATTGAAAAAAAAAGTTGAACAGTTCTATAGTTCCCAATCATTTCACTGCAATCGGAACATCTCGACTATTGTCAATGATAACAACTCTTATCCGAAGTTTGACAGAAAGGGCCGAGATGATGCGATTGCATTACACTGTCATTGAATTGCTATAAAAAAATCATAACATGTATATGAAAGAGTTTTAATATGTTTTATGTTTTATGCCCATTAATGTTTTTGAGGAAAGATATAGTAAAATAGTGCCTCTATTATGTAATGCGCATAACGTATGTTAGAAAACAGATTTACGTTACAAACGTTTCAACAAATATTTGAGAAGATTTTAATATTATTGATTTCGTGCATGCGCCCTTTGCTTTGTCAGAAATATACAAATATTTTTCTTTCATATATGGTACTTTGGTATGATTTTTACCAACACACAAACGAAACCCTGTCCTGATTTCTCTGACATCCTAATTCAGTTTTATACTCTTTTATATAGTTATAGCCCCTTTTATGTTTAAACTTTTCAATTTCATTGCAATATTCTTTACATATAATAACACACGAAAACAGCATTTTACAATGTTATAAAGTCTTTGTCTTTTAAATGCAATGAATTAAAATTCCACTTCATATATCATTTTCTAATAAACCCAATGTCCTTATTCAACAGTCTATTGAAAGATTTTTAGAATTCAAATGTTACTTAATTGTTGTTATGTCAAGAAAGTATATATACCCCTTTTTAATAGAATATTTTACAATAAAACGCTCGTCAATAGGGTATCAAATGCATGTTCAAAAACTAATTATTACTTAATCGGAGATAGTAAAAGCTGTTTATAATTACAGAAAGTTGCCTATTCATTAAACAGTTCTTTAAAAAGGAAAGTTCTACTTGGGGGTAAAGTGTTATTATAATAAAAAAAATCACATTTAATTGAGATATATACATATTTTCCCCAAACTGATTTGCCATTCATAACTTACATAAGAAAATACAAGGGACTAATTTTAATGCGTGACCAAATGACATTTCGCGGCCCTGAGCAAAAATAGTTCGCTTTGCAACTTAACGTTACGTTCCTTGTTGAAAATAAAAGACCAGATAAAAATCAAACATAGAAAACGGAAAACAAAAAATCTACTAGAAATGTTTTGAAATTTTATAATGAAAAGATTTAATCTTAATTGTTTTCTTTCAACTTCAAGATAAACTAAGTTCAAATTTGATAGAAAATGATGATATTTTGCTATACAGTATATTTGTAAATATAAAATAAACTTGTTTTGACTTCACACAAAGTAGATATGTTATGTTTTAATTCTACACAATATAAATGGACACAATATAAATATAGTGTCATTAAAAAAACTGGCAGTATTTTAAGAAAAAAAACACAACTTTACGTGTCCTGTTACAGGAAACGCAGCTTCCCATACTTGATTTATTCTTCTTTGATTCAAATTACACATGTTCAGTAAGATTTTCATAGATTTTAATGTATTACCTTGATAAAAAATATTTTACTCAAGGATGAGCATAGTATGTCTTTAAAAATGAAAACGTTTTGTTAATCATTAATTAAGGCGTTTTTTTTATTTCAATTAAGCACTCAATTTTATAATATCTTGGTCTTAAATTCAATTTCTATGGTACATTCTCAAGGAACAGATATACAAAAAAGCGTGCCTTCACTTATTCTACACATCTTTTATACCAAATTCATCATAAAATTTTGCTACTAGTAACTAAACACACACTATGGAATAAAAAAATTCCCTTTATAAAATTTTATTTACAGATCTAAACAGTTTAACTTCAGTATTCAAATTTCTATTTTATCAAATATTATAAACTAATCAAGGAGGTATTAAATTATACTCCTTCACTTTATATGATTCGGGCAGGTTTTGAATAGGTGTTTTCAAATTAAATTGAATTTTGCATGCCACGTTGATAGTATATTGACATTAAAGTTTAAAAAAAAATGATTTAATATATCTTACTACATTAATTTATCATCGTGTCCTATCCGGTCTTTTTTGAATTTGTTTTTACTTTTCCGTGATTATACCTACCCATATAGATATACCTGTATTATTTTGTTGACAAACATTTTATAAAAGATATCGATTTGGCAATAAAGGTGAAGAAAAATATCGATGAATCAGTGCCAAGACATTAGAGGCTTTAAATGTACGGAAACAATGAATAAAAAATTAATTTTATTACTAAATTCCTCTTTTTTGAATCACATTAAATGCCCAAAAGCTATATAATGAATTCAAAATGCATTCAAAATGCATTCAATGCAAAGCTATTAAGAATCAAAGCTTCGTGATCAAAATATCATTTGGGGTGCACAATTATCAACTAAATATAAAGAGGCTATCTTAAATAAATTGATGAGATTTTAATGCTATAAGGCATTCTTGGCATTTGTGATATTGAGAAAACACCACGTATGTCACCGTATAAAGTGAAATATAAGAAACACTTTTAACCTAGAATAGATTACAAGTAATTATCCTACTTTCAATTGCCTTACTCATCAGAGAGAAATGAGGAGAATGCTTTCCAAGTAAGTTCTGTTGGTCAAAATCGTGATCACTTTCGATTAATTGGTGAAAAATAATAAGTAATTCAAAGTAAATAATATAAAATGTAAACTTATATTACAGAGATTGTCATGCGATGTTTAGAACAAAAATGAGTTCTTTTTGAAAAAGATATAAAACAAAGGAAAGTTTGAACAAATATAAAATAAGCTATTTACATATAAATACATTTTACTAGTTAAGCATTTACAAATTATAATAATAAAACAATACTAGCAGGTAAACAAATCTGTTGTGACAAGGTCTGAAGGCATTTGTCAAATGACATCCATCCAGAAGGGAAGAGGAAATTTTTTACCTTGTACCCCATCCTGATTATAAACATGTATTTAATGAAAAAACACTAAGAAAATATAAAAAATCAGCTTAACAAAGTTTTAAGATAATTATTAATTAGATAAAGGTAGTGTTCTTTGCATATGTGTTGGGAAATGACCGAGGAAGCTTCCAGGATGACCAGTATTAATTTTATATCAGGGAATCTGAAAACAACGTCCCAGTAATGCTCGAACCCATGATCACTGCTTAGAAACACTTATCAACCTTGAACACAAACTTTATGCATCTGACATATATGTTAACAGTTTTATTTAGCTGCTTAAAGTCTTGGGGTCTGGGGATGGGGGGGGGGGGGGGCGGAGAGGGTGTAGCGTATTTGTTGAGTGGATGGGTGGGTGTTGATATTTAAATATTTTTATGAATAAAACACTAAATAGTTAAAATATAGGATGTTGCATAACGCATTATGCTGAAATTTTTTTTTAATAGAATAGTCTTGTTTTAGTTTTAAACTGTATATTTAATGTAAAGGAATTCTGAATATTAGTTCATCAAAATTAAGAAGCCAACGGCATAGTATCTGAACAAACTCTTCTACTCTACTTATGTGTAGGCTCGAACAATACGGGACTACCCAATTGAAAAAATATGCTTAGAAGGACAGTGTTATACGTTGTTATTTATTATTATTATTATTATTATTATTATTTTAATAAAACACGTTGACGCGACACTATACTATTTAAGGTCTCGTTCTAAACACATGTTAGTTAGAAAGAGTGGATCGAACTCGCTACCCTTGGATTTATATTCAGGCAGTGTTCCCATTTCCCTAATGCCCAGCTCCGTTGCCCTGAATTTATTTAAAAAGGCTTTGATAAGCAAACAATTTTATCATTCCATATGTAGAAACGAGCACTCATACATGTTTTTTTATTTAAAGATTATATTTAGAAATAAAAGAATTCGTAGTTTAAGTCTTATATTGAATTGTTATATCCATATATATATATGTGTGTGTCCATTAATATAATACATATATACCTTAAGGGGTTGTTGTTGTTGTTGCTTTTATTGTTGTTGTTGTTGTTCTTCTTCTTCTTCTTCTTCTTCTTTAAAATAATCGGTATTTTTAAAATTGGATTTCACTATTTTAACAGGCAAAAGAAAAGAATATTTCCCCTTTTAGGATTTTTATTAAATTATGATTAGTGAGAAACTATACGTTTATAAAAGAAAATCTTACCTTTAAGTTTTAAGTGAATATCTCCCTAAAATCCATACTTATTCATAGAAATGTACTTTCGATATATCGAAAACTTATTTTTTTTTAAAGCACACCTTTACCTTAATAGAAAACGAATATATTCATTTCACTGAATTAAATTTCTTACACTTACTTTTATCTCTGTACGGTAATTTCAATTTGAAAAAGTTTAAAATCTATCAACTGATTTTCGGTCATTTATATAATTTGCATATTTATCGTGTGTAGTAGGTACGTATGTATGAGAACTTACAGTAAATAAATAACAGTGGCTTGAATGACGTTTTCGCGCTACATTTCACTTTTTGAAAACAGTCAAAATCGTACAAAGTCATGTACTTTTAAATCTTAATGTATTTTAATGTCTATAGGTTTTCTTGAACCATTTTCCCTGCTTGAACGGGGAGTGATTAATTTACAGTTTACCACCTGTATAAACGGTCAGACCAGCATGTACATCCGTGTAGTCTGGCCAGGCTCCAGTTGGCTGCCTTTTCATCACCTTGATTTTATCACTCCGAAGTTGATTACGACAGTTTTATAAAATGAAGCTGGACAAGATTATTTCAGAATCTCATCAAGTTAATGACTTAAATTTAATACTCTAAAAATTTGAACAAGACTTTATTTTATGTATTGAATCCAAGTAATTACGGTCAACTTCGCCGTTTCCGTAAATTATTACGGAAGCGTTTAGAGGACAAAACTTTTGCTGCTCTTTATTTTACTAATGTTTATCAGATTGTTTATAACCAAAAGGCACGAAAAGGATCAAGGATGCCGATTATTCAACAGCTCAATGCATCATCTACAATTGGGTCTCTGTGGTCAATGGTTAAGGTGCTAAAAATACCACATCTCTGTGGGTTCGAATCTTGCCATGGAGTTTTGATCTTCCGTATGAGGTAGGTATCAAGCTGTCAATGGTCATGTTCATATAAAAGTAATATTTTAGATCATAATCATCAAACCAGTTTTTTTATTATTATTATTATTATTTTTATTTATTTATTTTTTTTTTGGTGTTTTTGTCTTGTCACTCGAACCTGGTTCAGGTGCAGATCCCAAAGTTCGACAAGGAGAAATCCCAGATGGGGGTCATGGGGGAAATTTGTGCTATTTGCATTAGTTTTTGTGTGATTTTTAACTTTAAAAAGAACTTAAGTTGATATCTAAATATCAGAGGGGTTTCACAAACTAGAGTTAAATCCCAGTTCCCTGCGCATGTGGTTCATTGAGAACAATCAACGTCAAGAAATTGTAAGCAAGTAATCATAGCAATTTCACGAAAGTATGACAGACATCATACATGCGCGTTGTTGACTTAATGTTTTCGCCTTTTTAGTTCCGAAAACACATTAATACGTGTTTCGTAAACCAGTCAAATTTTTAATAGTTTTCAAATAGACTAACTGTAGAATCAAATAGTTTCCTTTCATACATAACGTATAATCATCATCGTTGAACCTTTTAAAATAAATTGGAGTCAACATATGATGAACAGTCTGTATTTACATTTATAATTCCACTAAGCATAGCATATGAACGTTTATAATTGATGCATTTGATTATTTGTAAACATGAACGGGTTTCCTTTGTAAAGATAAATCACGCCTTTGAAGTTTGAAATCGAACAAGCATAATAAGGAACTAATTTATTGAATATTTTGTCAATTGTTTGAGTAGTATACAAATCATCGGGGTATTTTGAAAAGAAAAATTTAAATTTGTATGTTAAAATACACAACTGGCCGAAATAAAAGTACATTACGTCTGTTAAAAGCACTGGGGCATTGTCAAATGAACATTTATATCTTTTTTGACCATATATATACACGTTAGACATACAGGTTTTTAAAATAAATATTTGCGGTTTTTATAAATTTGAACAGTCTGGTACGTATTTGCTAAATTTTGAATAAAAAGCTGATGTTTGAACAATTTTGATACTATTATTATTATTACAAACAAAATAAATTAATTATACTGACTAAGCCTTATATCATATATGTATAATCCCCGGTTTCTTGAAAGTGCACCGCGTGACGGCAAAATCGAGTTATATAAACTTCAAAATGACGTCTGAATTATTACGCAAGTCATGTGTATGCGCAACCCAGAGCTAAGTTAGGCAAAAATAAGTCAAAGGATTTGAATAAACTTTGTGCCGAACTCTTTGTGAGATCTTTAAAGTATTTTAATGTTTGTTGTAAATTATAACCTCAACGGAACACATTGCCACATCGATTGACAACAAAGTCACGTTAACTGAACACCTTGCCGAATCGATTTAGAAATAACCACGACAACTGAACAACAAGCCACATAGCTATGCACCTATTAACGTCAACGTATCACATAGCTACATCGGTTGAGCACCTTGTCACGTCAACTGAACACCTAGTCACGTAGATTGAGCACATAGTCACGATAATTGAACACCTAGCAACATCGATTGAGCACCTAGTCGCGTCAACTGGTTAGTCTTAGTGTTTAAACTTAGTCTCAAATAAAGGGCTCGGATGAAAGGGGACCAAAACAAATTTTAGTAACCTTTTCGGTGACATAAAGTTCTAAAGATTTTAAGTAGAATATACAAACTAAACTGTATTAAACAAGATTTTAAAAAGTTCCCTCCCCAAGTTATAAAAGCGTTCATCAGTTGTTTATATAAGAATACTTATTTGAAAAAAAAATAAACAAAATATTTGACATCATCAATAAATAACCACGTTTGTAATTGATCTTTACGACCCTGCCCATTTATCATTCCAGAGTCATCCATAAAAGAATCTTTTTTCAAGATCTAAAAGATTTCTATAATATATCATTAACAAGCCTTCTAAAGGCAGGCGTGACGTGAAGATCATGTGAATTGATAAGTAAGTAAATGTGACGTTAATATGATATTTATTGACGTTTATTTTCAATGTATTTATTGCTGTTTTATTTCGAATTGACTATACCTAGCCTTTTGAATATGTTTAAACCATCTATAATAAACAACCTCATGGCATGGCATCTTGATCGATAGCTTGAAGTTTATTGCCCCTATTTGCTAATAGTTCAAATAACAGTACTTTATGACTTGCACTAAACACGCGGATGATCCATGGTTCAACTATATGCCAACGTCACTTCCTTGAAATCATGCAGTGATAAACAACATTTCTTGCAGAGATAAACAGCATTTGAATGAGTAATAGGCCAGGGCTAAAGAGTCCGATCGGTCGGAAGAAGATAATTCTACTTTATAAACACATTGATGGTAATATGATTTTGAACAGACACAAGAAAATAAGGCTTTCCGTTTCTTGAACCGGTTTCAATCTTGTCCTATTAACCATTTCGAATCCTTATTTATGAAATAAACTTGTAAAAAGAAAGAGACTTATTCGAACACCAATAAGAAAGCATGCGTATTTATAGTTCAGTGACAGTACTATGTGACGTCGAGAATCCGATCCTCGGTATCTCTAATAACGAATTTCTAAGATACTCGCAGCGGAGCAGTAAAAATATAGTTAGCATCTTGAGTGTTAGCTATGCTATTGGGGTAACTTTTACACCATACTTGCGGCACTAGCCTCTAACCCTCTTCTCTCGAAACCCGCAAAGGTGTACTTCTGGTTTAAAAAGGATCGAAATAGAAAATTATATTACTATAGCTTATTATGTTTAAAATAACAACTGTAAATGCATATACATTTATTTTATTAAATAAAACGCCCATTTCAAGGGACACAATTCATGCCCGACAAACGAGAATTGAGCTAGTGTTACTTCCCTTTGTTTCATATTTCTGTTCTTTTCAATTTCTTATCAGAGTAAAACTTTTCATGAAATTATTTATTTTATGATAAAATACCCACGCTGAATGTCGCCTCTGTGGCAAGTTTTACGTTAGAAGAAAGAAAACATTGCAAGTGACAAATTTGTTTATTTACATTACGGGATTATCAAATTTTCTTAACGTTTGTGGTAATAATTATTACCAGAATTAATTGAAGGATGAGTCAGGTAAGAGTAAATATATTTGTTTTCTGACGCAATTAGTATTATGTAGCTCTTGAAGGAATCTTCGATGTTGGGTTGTTAATAATTACCCAGATCACTGATTTGGAATCACGTGCACATCACCGCTATAGAACAAACCATATTGCAGTTACAGTCAAACCTTTTGCTTAAAGGTCATAAAAAGGACAAACCGTGCATAGCCTTTACAGACAAGTGGTTTTTATTTAGAGATTACTTACTATGTTTTATTTATATGTATGAAGGTTTGTCAAAAAGTTGTCTTTATTTACAGTGTGATCTTTTTTTCGGAGGTGTTTTTTAACACAGGTTTGATTGTTTTTATGGTTTTTCTATTCAGGCGTCTCCTTAGGCCAGAAACAGAATGCACGTATCGGCACTCTTAGGATTTCCTTCACACTGTATTAGTCTTTAATTCAATCTGATTTAATTCAGCAACTTGTAAATGCTACACATTAGGATCTAACCGGCACCCATAGCAGGTCACCTTCTCGTGACAATTCAAGCAGCCAATCATGGACGAGCTTTCACAATTTTGAAAGCGATTCGGTTGTTTTAACCACTGGAAAACTAATACTCAGTAATGTAGATCTTAACTTTAGTCAAATTGCCTTTGATTTGACTTACAGCTCTCACTTATTCCTGCATGTCGTATATATATTTATGAATAAAAATAAATGTACATTCATGAAAATATCTGCCGTATGTTTATGAAGAAAAAAGGAACGAGTGTATTAATTCTGCAAAATATTTACCGTATATGATATAAATATATAAATATTTGTTCTTATTCTGAAACGTATGTAAAGTACTTTTCTTATTTTTGCATTTGGAAACAGGTGACAACTCCTTTAACCAATACCACGTCCAACACAACGACACCATGGCCGAAAACCACGCCCCAAATGACCACGCCCACAGGCTTCCTGAGTACTAGTGACGGAAAGACTGTGATGGCGCTCCTCGTCATAATCTTGTTACTGCTTGTGGCTGTTCCAATAATTGTGTTTCTTTTAGTCAGAAAAGCGTGTACAATGAAAAGGTAATTTTAATATCTTCAGACTTTTCCTAGACCCGAAAATGTTATTTTTCTATTCTAAATGACCACAATGGTAACTTTTGATTGTCTATTTCAACAAAATAAAATCTTTTTTTTTTTCAAGAAGCTAGCTCTTTCAAATGACTTAAGCGAATGTGTCCGTGACTGTTTTAATCGATGCAAGAAAACACTTTCATGTATATACAATTGGAGTTATGATTTGTATACGTTTTTTTCTAAAAGATATAGTTTTATCTCAAACGTAGGCTAGAAATGGTTTGAAAAACAATTTTATTGCACAGTTTGTGAAATTTATGAAATACATGTATACAGTATCTTTTTAACCATTTTATATATTGTCGCACTCATAACTTTACATATAACATCTATTCAACATTTTCTGCACGTTTAACTACAGGCAGACGACCGATCAACAGACTCATATTGATGAAAATGATAACGATAAAGAAACACAAACTGAAGTAATAGGTAAGTTGTTTGGTACATGTACCTTACAGACGATACCTTGCCCTTTTCCTATATATCCGCAATGATTTCTCAGAAACAATTAAAGAACATTTAAAGATGATATGGCGACATCTCGAACCTTCCAATAAAAAAACACCCAAAACAATCAACAACAACCACAGAAAAATATAATTCTGAGAAGATAATTACATCCGGGTACTTGTACAGTACTGATACGTATTACTTTATGAACTTGTGTGGATTTGTTGTGATTCTATGCTATAACAGAAACACGAAATTATGTTGGTGAAATGATTTCTTAAATTCGTTTAAAAATGATTAAAAAATAACTTTTTGCACACTAAACAGTAAACTGCTTCACTACTCTAATAAAAAAAGACAGGAACGTGAAAGGCCAACTATGAAGAATAAAGGGGAGATCACTGCGTGGAGAATAAGTGAAAGGCACAAAGACCATAGTTACTTGCCCTTGGTTAACCGCAATACGAGAACTAGTGTCTTTGATGCTAAAATAATTATGTATACATGTACATGTATGTGACATGTACATGTATGTGAATTTTAAAATGTTGAGGTTGATGAATTTGTTTGGAACGTTTAGTGAATATTGCATGTTTATTCAGATCTTAAAAGAACGCATAGCAAAAATAACTGTGCATGTCTTGGGCCTGGTATGTATATGCCGCGAAACTAGACAAAATTAAGACTTGTTTGCTATGTACTATATTTTAGGATTAGAGCTGCAAGAATTCTATAATCGCAGAAAACCTACGGATATGTCGAAATACATGGGCAAGGCGTTAATTGAGGTTGAACAACCCCCGAGATGGCATCAACTGAACCCAAAGGACTGGAACGATCCATGGATGCAAAAGTATAACGGAAAAGAAACAAACTATATTGGCAAAGTTTGGTGAATAAAATTGTGTGTACATGTTTCAATAATGAACAAAAACTGAAAATAACCTTTTAAACTAACTAAAAATAAACAACAACGAGCAGGTGCACAATGAAAAAAAAAGTGACGAGCAGAAATTTGAGAGAGAACGGATCATACTATAACAAAGCTTAAAAACATTTCTCAGGAGGCTACTCTGGTATCGTTATATGTCGCAACGACACCAAATATCGCACTTGCCGCTAAATGTCGCGCTATTGCCACTTAAATGTTCAAATACTACCGTTAAATGTCGCAACTCTAAATTCATGTTTAAGAACTGGTATTATGTCAATATAAATGGTATGTAAGTGGATCAAATTTCTTGGATTCGAGCTATCAAAAACAGGACAATATATCAAGTCGTAGTGTCTCCAACCCGAAAGTCGAAAACTCGATATATTCGCTAATTATCTTGTCTTTGGGTTTCGCTTTTTGAGGCGAAGACACGACTACATGACACATATAGTGCGCCGAAACGAAGATTTCTAATTATGACTTTTATATACTTCTCTTAAGAAGATTTAAGAACCTTTTCACGTTAAGTTAGATATTATAAAAGCATCATTAGGATTTCCTAAAGGAGTCTTAAAAACTTATTGAGTTTTTTTTTCACTTTTAAGGATTTATAAAACCCTTATTAGGACATGGGTACTCTTGTAAGAAGTTCTAAAAACTAACTACAACTTTGTAACTGTTATTAAGGAGTTATAGCCTAATTTTGGAGATGAAACTATCATTAGGAGTTGAGAAATATTTCATCTTAAGTAGGAGCTCCAAAACCCTTAATATAAAATAAAAGTGATTTGAACTTTTAATTTTTAATTAGTTACAAATAACTCATGAATAAACTTTGCGACATTTGATGGTAGTGTCGCGACATTTAACGACAAGGGAAAAATCGTGCGACATTTATCGGCAGAAGATTGTGCGATATTTAGCGGCAATGGTGCCACATTTAGCGGCGTTGCGACATATAACGGCGCTACAGCGACTCATCTCTAATTTCAAAGTATCTTAAATATCTCAAATTTTACATTTATATTGAGTATATTTTGTAATATTTTATCTCAAATTTCATTTGTAATCACTCGCCTCATATGGTGGCTGATTTCTGTCATTTCGTATCTTCGCCCCTCAAAAGTCGAAGGCGAAGACTCGATAACTAGGCGCGATGACACGGCTTGGCAGAAATCAGCCACCCTATTCATGCTTTGACTTTATTGCAAGCAACTGACATCGTCACAATCAAAACCTCACGCATAAGTCTGTATTTCACGCACCTGAAATAGAGACATTTCCTAATTAATACATGTATAAAAACATATAAAAGTTTTTAACAGAAAACATTCATATTTACTATACAAAGATTCGACGACGAAATTCCTCGCCAATCCACCATCTTGTCGTGAAATTTCGACAAACTTCGCCCTTTTCCGTATCTAATAACCTTCCGAAGGCTTTTAATACAAAATGTACTTGTTTGACCAGATA